GTACCCATTCCACACACTGGCTTCTCTGTGTAATATTGACAGGTGCCTGAAGGTGGGCTGTAGCTTGATTGCCATGGTGACCTCTTTGTACAGCCCTCCTCCATAGCTACCTTAATTTTATGGCTCCCACCCTTCTATACAATTGACATCAGTGTTTTAGCAACAGTTGGTGGCTTATCACTTTTAACAGAAGACGTTAAAACAATCAAGCTTTTATTCTCACTGTTTTCCCCTATACTTTTCAGTGAATTTGCTAAAGAGAGAGAAAGAGTTGAAAATCGTAGAGCTTTTCTCAAAGTGCGAAGAACTCAAAAGATGGAGAGGCATCTGCATGGTTATATAGATTGGATTAGTAAAGCAGGTAAGATCTTTTCATTTCTTTTTTTTTTTAATTTAACATTGTATACTAAGGAAAAATATGTCAGCTAAAATACAGGCTTGGATCAATTCAATCTCAAACTTGAAGAACAGTGAACATGGCGGCTGAGTGTAATGAGTCACTTAGATTACAGGTTCACTGTATTGCCACCCAAACAAACAACTCTATGTTTGTGCATGCAAAATTGTTTATTGATAATGGTTAAGTCAATTCATGACACTTTATACTTGTAATAAAATAATTTTTAATTGTTAGCTGTAATTAATGATCAAGACTAACTTTAAGTTGAATTTAAGTGTTGTGTCATACTTCCATCTTGCATACATCCATCTAGAAATTCAAGTAGCAGGAATTGTATTATTTAAAGTACTTTTCTTTTTAAACCTTTTTTTCTCATCAGAGGATCTAATGTTAGAAGAAGAGGAGGAAGAAGATGGAAATGTAGATTTGTCAAGAAGAAGACATCTTGATCGAGTGGAGGATGGAGATGTAGCAATGACATCTGTTGTGCTCACAGGACAGGCAGGACGCAGGCATAGATTGAACACAGGAAAAAAGTTAGTACTTAAGGGAAATTCTTTTCATACTGGAATTGGGAAATTTGTATCTCCACACTGATATAATTATGTGGGCACCTGAGTTTGTTTAAGATGTTTTGGCTTAACTCTTTTACTCTCAGGGTTTAAATATGAATTCTCTGTAATTTTCCCCATACAATTCAAGTTTTGATAATTTGATATTTAATTAAGCAATATCCCCTCGTTGATATTTTTCTTTCTTCTTGTTATCTTTCTGCTTGAAAATGTATGGATATTATAAAGAGAAACTCCTGGGATATTTTAAATGAAAAGTTTCCAGTCCTGCATGTAAGCTGAAGAAACTACATGGCATTTCTGTTAACTTGGCTGCCTACTATTTCTTAACTGCCTTCAACTTTCAAACTTATGGACGGCGCTAGCTCTGCTCTTGCATTGTCTCCTCAATGAAACTGTCAGGGAACCTGAGAAAGTGCTTATGACAAACAACAAGAACTACAGCTGTAGTATCCCATTCATAAGCAGTAGCTATATTCTTTGAACTCCTGAAATCATGCTTTAAAGCTTCGCATAACACTAAGACTTGGCCAGATTATCTTCAAAATAATAAAACAGGAATGCTGCAAGGAACTGCGCTCAAGCAATTCAGACAATTAGACTAGAGGCCCCGACCGAAAACAGCACTTTCCAAGATAACGCATTGAAGCTATTTAACAATTTACCAGAATCTATTAGAAACTGTAAAGATTACTGAACCTTTTTAAGACTTTCAAGGAATTTTTAATATATGTAATAAAGTACAGAGTGATTAGTTAGTTTTACTGTAATTTCTATTCTGTTAATCCTACTTCTACTTTTAATTGCATATTGTGTAATTTGTGAACAACTTAATTTGATTTATTTTAAGTGTAATTGATGTATTTTAACTGGGAAGAGCCACCTAGTGGATCTGTTAATAAACCATTATTATTATTATTTAGTTCTTATTAACCGAGCGGGAGGTGTGTATGGGAGAATCTTGACCGAGGTCGCCAGTACAGACCGAACAAGGTCAAGATTCTCCCATACAGACGGACCTAGCTTGGTTAATAAGATGTTTATTATATGGCTGTGTCTTATATGCCAATTTTTTATATTCTTTCTACCTTTTTTTTTCTGGGCAGGTCTAGATACCGGTCTAGATGGGAAAATCTAGACCGCTTTCAATGTTGATTTCAGCCAATCAAATTCGTGAATTTGGTAGTTCCCAGTCCTTGTGAGACAGCCATATAATAATGCAATTTATAAAGTGTAGGGTTGTTGCTGAATGCCAGATGAAAAAGCGGTGATCACTTGCTGAATCTTTGGCCAGCAATTGCGTGGTAAAGCACAATGGGCACTTCTGAGGTTATGCACTTACAATTTACAATCATAAAACACCTTTGAGCCACCTCACTTGAAATTTCAGTGGGAAGCGTAATTTCTTAGCTACAACCCTGAAAGTGGCCACCCATTTGACTTGATTACCTTTATTTCACTACAAAACTGAACAATCAGACTAACCAAACCAGAATAGAAAAGGAGATATTTCTTCCAAAAAAAATAGTTAACTTTTGTCTTTTTTTTATATCACCTTGCACAGGAAAAGTCTCTGGCAGAGATTTCTCAAGAAAAACAGACGGTGGAAAATCCGCATCAGACAAGTGGTTAAACATCAGGCTTTTTATTGGACTGTACTTATATGTGTTTTTCTCAACACAGTAATCACTGCATTACAACATTATAATCAACCCGATTGGCTTACACAGTTTCAAGGTAATTGTAAAAGAGTTGTGTGGCCTTTGGCAAGTGCTTGATTCTACTGGATTAGATTGCTTTTGTTATTTAACTCTCCCACCCACTCAAAAGATTTTAGGCTGTAAGTGCTTAATTTACACAAAACCTAATAATCCTAAAGCATCTCTGTGAACTTTGTCACAGAAGTTTGAGATAACACATACACTGGCATAAAAAGCACACTAGCAAATAAGCCCCACCTCAAGTTTTAAAACCTAGATCTTGTTGATTATTTCTTCTGAACCATTCACTTCTCAAAGTGAACTAATTACCTTTAAACACCTCCGTAGTTAAAGAAATAACTCTTATATTCTGTTGCAAAGACTTAACACTTTGTGCTCAAATTCCCCACTCCAGCCAGGCAAGTCATGTTAAAATGCAGACTGCAGACTGTGCAGATGGGAGAATTTTTGGCACACCCATGAGGGTGTTATTATCATATATTTTTACTTATCTTTCATTTTTGCTGAAAAGCCTCTTTTAGAGGAGCTTCCATGAAATGTATGAATCAATGTTTTCATCTTTATGGCAATGTACTATCTGGTCACACTTGGTGCATGCACTGCAATAGAATTGGAGATTAGGTTGGACACAACTGGCATGGCAAAAGTTCCTTGCTAACTATAGATCAATCTTCTACTCTGGTAAAAAAAAAAAGATCTTATTTCGGAGAAAAAGTTGATTTTAGGTTGCAGCACTTTATTTACTGTAAAGTTCTTCGGGCCATGTTGTGAATATTCAGGTAATTATTTGCCATGTAGCCCATTTACCTCTAAATCAGTCACTGGTTTCCAACCAGATTACATCTGCATTACAGAAATAAAGAGTTAACACAAGTATATGGCAAAACTAAAATTAATCTCAACGCAGGGGCAAACTCAAATACAACCTTCCCTCATCAATCTCCATCTCACCACATTCTCGATAAATGTCATTGGAATTGTTGCTTGGTAACCTGAGCTTGAAATAACCCCGTAAAACTTTATCATGTGATGTCCAAAAAATGGACACCATTCCAAGGGTACCTAAAGAGTAAAGGTCAGCACACATGGGGGGACTAGTCCTTGCAACTAGTCCCTGCAACAAGTTGCGGCGATAAGTCTCATCGTGTGGACCCCTTCCATTTCCATCTATATATAAATCTTATTTAGAGGCATACTTATGTAAACAGCCCCCTATTACTGCTATATTTCAATGTAACACAAGATATCTAATTTTATCTTCTGCGCAATAAAGACATTTATTAGACACTTATTATTTTTGCCACAAAATCTAGTCGCAGGGACTAAAATTTGGTCCCTGTGACAAGTCCCAGGAATTTAAACTGGTTTGAATTTTTGGAACATGTCCCTGCAACTTGTTCCTCAGAACACTTTGTGTGAACTGTTTGTGGGACAAGTCCCTGCGACCAAATTAAAATAAACCAATCACAGATCAGTACCACAATGTATAGAAGTGACTGCTTGACTTCCGAGATAATTTTGTTGCTGTTTCCTCCCTGGGATTAAACCAGTTTTGAAAGAATTTAAATGAGTACTGGAAATCTTGATCGAATTTTCGCCTCTTTTTGTTTCCGTATTGGCTACATCTGATTAGTAACGAAGCATTATTACACGACACGGGCAGTCAGAGGGCCAATAACTAAAATCAACCAATCAAAATGCTCTATTGCCAGTCAATATTCTCTCAGTATTGGACCGGGCACTGTCCCAAATGGTCCCGAATGATACTGCACTTGTTTCCCTTTGAACTTCAGTCATATAATAAATCTCTTATTAACCAAGCTTGCTTGGGAGCGCACTGGAAGAATATCGGCCCTTGGTCTTTTTTGTACGGACCTCGCTATGCTCGGTCCGTACTGTCAAGACGTCGGGCCGATATTCTCCCAGTACAACCCTCGCGCTTGGTTAATAAGATATATTTATTTTCCACATATATCTGAACTGAATCAGAAACTATTCAACAACTTTGCTGAACAATCTGTGGTTTGTACTGAGTTGATTTATTTCAATGCTACATTGCTACTTTAATAATTTTGGTTTCTTAAGAAAGCTGCAGAGTGAAAGAATGATACTGTTTGTCCCCAGTTTTTGCTACTTTCCTGTGCAATTGGTCCCCATGTGTAAACACTACTAGGGACTAGTCTCTGTGACCAGTCCCTTTGTGTAAACTCTTCAGGGGACTAGTTACAGGGACCAGTTCCCTTGTGTGTGCCGACCTTAAGGAAAAGGTGAAATCTGAGTTAGCAAAAGAGAAAAAAAATATGTATGCAAAAGAAAATTTACAGTTTGCATGGTCTGCGGTCTGCAGTCTACGATTTAACATGGCTGAACCATGCAAGGTTGAAATAATTCCCTACCCCCCTCCTCCCAGGCAAGAATGATGCTCAATGGTTGAAGGTTGCATGGGGGAGAGATTTTGAAGCTTCAAATTTAACAGTACATTAGGGAGACAACCAGCTATGTGCTTTACTGCCGGCTGATCCAGTATTACAGTTTAGGTAGAATCTTATCTTTATGATGTTACATATGGGTATTATTTTAAATACTGCCTAAGTATCCAAACCATCACTCAATTTTCGTTTTGTTTTGTTTTTTGTTTTATCATAATGCACAATTACTTACAAGCTATAATAATTGCTTTATACAAATTTCTTTTGTTCTTAGATATTGCCGAGATTGTGTTCATCACTTTCTTTTTCCTCGAGATGATGCTGAAGCTTTATGGCCTTGGTCCTCAGCTTTACTTCAAATCCCAGTTCAACACATTTGATTGTGTGGTAAGGAAAAGCATTCTTAATTGAATGTCAGTGTATCAAGAAACCATGTTATTTGCAAGTATAATCACTGGGCTGAATCTTATATTCATTTTAATGATAGCTCAGTTCCTCAAATACCCGCACTCTAAAAAGCATCATCCCCAGAATGAGTGCTCACCTGGATACACGCATGCTTACCCCCCCTGGGCCTTAATGTCAAACAAGTGTCCACCCCTCAATTAATTGCCCCTTCCTCTTCCCTCACTTTTTTAAATAATAGGGATACAAGGAAAATCTGTTTCTATTGCAACTTTTTTTTTATAACTACTTAACCTTTGACTACTGCAGAATCAGCACGGGAGAATAATAAGCACCTGGTCAATTAAGTCTCCTCCTTTCAAAAGCTGAAATTTTAAATAGTAGTGGCCATAGAGATAAACAGCCATATTGTCATTTCTTTCAGGTTGTTTGTTGTGGTATTATTGAACTAATTATTTCAAAAGCAGAAGGAACAAGCTTGGGTATCTCTGTACTTCGACTCTTGAGGCTTTTAAGACTTTTTAAATTTACCAGGTAAAAATTTAGGCTTGTCCTTTTTGCTGGTCACATGATGCTGTATTTCATGTCCAAGATAGATAACAAAATGTGTATGTAGGCATACCTTCTCTCTCACAGCCAACATGGTTTCATGAGTTTAAACTTAAATTAATTTTATAAATCTGGATTATCCTTTACTTTGTTTCCTTTGGCAAACAAGCTAAAAATTGAAATAATTTTGGTTTTATCAACTGAGTTGATAGTGTAGATTGGCCATCGTAAAGAGTTTCAAAGCTGACATTTAGGGTATTAGCTCTTCATCATTTGCTCTAATGAAGGGCTTATGTTCAAAATGTCAGCTTTAAAACTCTTTGCTGAGGCTAATTTACATTATCAACTCAGTTGATGAAACCAAAATTACCTTATTACTCCTATGGATGCACGGTGCAGAAGGCAACAAACATATCAAACTATCAGAGATTTCTTTAATCTTTATTGTACGTGATTAGAAGATTCTGAAGAGTGGATCTCTGTGGCTTGGAAGAACTAATACTATGAAGCTTAATTCATTGTTTGCAATACTGACACTGATCGCAACTGAAATAAAAATCTAAATAATCTAGTCTTAAAATGAACTATTCATGAACTGTCAAATAAAGGAAAATTAATTATTCATGAGCTGTCATATATAGGAAACCACGATCGCTTAACTATTTAAAACCGCAGAGAAGCATAGAAAAGTAATCATGCAAATTTCGATAAGCACGCATTGTTCAAAGTTCAATAATCACGCATTGTTGAAAGTCATGCAAGGAAACTAGAACTGTTCATAACAATGCAGCACCACAGTTTCTTTAGAACCTACTCCCTTTATTCATCAAGCCAAAAAATGATTGTTTTGCTTCCTAGGTATTGGTCCTCTCTGCGTAACTTGGTGACTTCCCTGTTGAGCAGTGTTCGCTCCATCCTTAGCTTGCTGTTTCTTCTCTTCCTGTTCATTGTAATTTTTGCATTACTGGGAATGCAGATCTTTGGTGCAAGGTAAGTTCCAAGGCCTTGGGATAAAAAGGTAGTTGGCATGTTTTGATTTGTCTTTTGTTGTAACCTTTGAAGGTTCTTTATTGCACTTCTCATTGACATGCAAAGTCCAAAACTCTAAATGGTCTTGAGCATCATTACCATTTGCACCATCAGTCATCTTAAAGTAAAAGCATAAACTGAAGATATAACTAACAAATCTTAGTAGCTGGCAGAACAGGCATAATTTCATGCATTTTCAGGAATTTGAGGTTGGCAAAAGCAAGGCAAACACAAGGGCTCCTGTCCCTTGGATTGTCTCATGCCTTGCATTTGTCTCTCCTTGCATGAAAATGCTTAACAAAAAAGTACCTGTTCTAGATTTCAAAGGATTCAAGAGAAAACTATGTATAAAATATTTATGTGATGGATTTCAGTCCATTGCAACTGCATTTGCTTTATTAATTTTAGTTCATTGGTGGTTGTTAAAGGGCTTTTTTAAAAAAAAAAAAAAAAAAAGAATAAAACAGCATAAAAATCCTGGTAACTATAAATTAGGGCTTTAACATGAATTTCAACTTAATCAAAAATGGTGATCAATCGTCATTATTGTTATCATCTAACAGTTTCAGAGATCTTCCTGGAAGAGATGGTAATCCTAGAACAAATTTTGACAATTTCTGGAATGCTGCACTAGCCGTTTTTCAGGTAAGATGTTAGACCAAACGCATTTTTTTTTTAACAGTTTTTTAATTTTTTGGAAATTCTAGACAGAAATTGGCTTACATTTCAGTTTCAAGTCCCTTTGTGAGTTTTAACATACTTTAAATACAGATTTAAGGACATTGATTGGACTTGAAACATTTATGTTATTGCAACTGATTCATCTCTGTAAGTGGAAAGTGACCTTCACTGTACGGAAATTTCTTTTGATTGTAACGAGTTACAGTTCTGATCTGGAAGAGGAATTGATAGTGTTTGAAAAAGGCCTGTTGTTGTCATTAGGTCAGCTAATGGAGTTGATCTTTATAGCTCAACATCAAAAGTGTCAGCCATTTAATATTTTTCTTTCTTATTATAACCTGACTGTTTGATATTGTATTGTTCATCAGAAGCTTATAACCCTGAATAGGTCATAAGTCTCTTTTTGGATCTAATTTCTCCACATGATATCACCCCCCAATTCACTGAGGTATCATAATTATGGAAGTCATGAAATAAAGGAAATGATCACCAACTGATGCAGCTCTTGATTGTTGAATCAATTCTCCTTTTCAGCACCCTGGGATATGTAATAAAGGACAGTATGGAGAATATGCGCGTAAAGGTGTAGATGGTTAACATAGGGTCTGTTTTCTGTTCATATTTAGATTTTAACAGGGGAAGACTGGAATGCCGTGATGTATGATGGCGTCTTGTCACAAGGATACCCTCAGAAACCCTTTGCCCTAGCTTGGGCGTTATATTTTGTTTTACTAGTAGTACTAGGAAATTGTATCCAATGATACCATTTTATTTCAATTAATTATCATATTATGAGTAATAACACGAGTAACTTGACAACAGAGCAATTTTTAACTGAGTGTTAAAAGTAAACCGGAATTTCATTGGTTTTGCTTAACAAAGCTCCATGATTGATCCAGAAAACATACCTCACTCTTTTAACCAATCAAATGCCAAAGTAAAACCAGTTGCTACTTGGTCACGCGCGTTTTCCTGCCTCTAAAGGAGTGAGCCTGTTCTCACTTTGAGTTCCTATCAGCTCTTTATGGTATGCTCTGACTGGCCTGGCCGCTGTAATAACTACGACGACACTCAGTCCCAAATCGCTCTACTACTATGGATCCTTAAACCCCCTCCTCCCGTAAGAAAATTGCCGTTTCAATCGAGAGTCCAGTCATTTCTGACGCCGCTCCTCCCCCCCCCCTCCTTTCACCGTTATTAAGACCAACTTCTCATCTCTCTGAGGATGTAGGGACTGATTACCGTCGTCTGAACCAAATGGGTTGACGGAATATATCAGTACATTGCTTCAACATTCTTACTACAGAGTAACAAAGCTTCTAAAGCAGCCTTTGTGCCTCTTTCCACCAAGGTACTCTTTTGAATCGGAGCGGGTAAAGTGTCGGGAGAACTTGGCAAAATGCTGGAGGAAGTAACCTGCGATGAACTACGAGTAGCATTGAAGCCAGGGGGGGAGGATGAAAGAGGGGTAAGGGAGGTAGGGAAGGGAGAATGGTTCTATACTCGTGCAGTCGATTCACTGTGCGACTTTGGTTGGAAACTTTAGCGGAGATTTTGCGTTATATAACGTTTTGTGTACTTACTGTTCAGCGAGAATTGTGTATGCACCTTAACAAATGACCAGATACTCTTCTTAATGTATTCTTGGCTATTGCTGTGGACAACTTGGCAAATGCTCAGCAACTGAGTCAGGACGAGGAAGCGGAAGAAAACGCAAGAGAAGAAAGAAAAAAAGAAATTGTAGACCAGTATCGTGATTATGGCTCTCCAGGGCCCAGCCCAGGGTGAGACGCAAAATAAGTTTTATTTTTGTTAAAAAATGTGGAGTCTTATCACTATGTCTCCGTCTTTGAGCATTAAGCCTAATTTTTTTTTCTAACACGTCTTTTGTAGTCCGTTTCAATCCTCGCTATCCGTAACCACTCTCGTTTGTAACTCCCAAGATCTGATTGTTAATTCTCCCCTCTTGCTGCTACGCATTTCCTTGTAAATTAGTGACGAGAACTCGGTGTTAGATCAAGATAACAACTTCCACCTGATAAGTTTGAGTGTTCTCATTACCTGTTTGCTGGATGATGTATGGATAGTATAGGGAGAAGTTGCATGTTAATCACTTCTGTGAGTTAAAGGGTTTTCTCACAGTTCCTCAACAAAGGAAGGAATTTTGAAGCAGAAGAGGAAATATGACTTAGAAGTTTTACGATTGATGTGTAAGTTTACAGCATATAACAGATAGGTTTGGTTGACGAAATTCTAATTTATTTCTACCTGTTCCCCCAGGCGCAATGGAGACGCGAGAAGGGTGAGACTTCTTTGCAATTTTCGTTGTTGTTGTTGTTGTTTTATTTAATATCTTGGAGTTACCTTCTTTTTTTTTTGCTTCATCTTTACTTTAGAAGCAACTAAGCCAAGCACGCGTATTCAATATTAACGTTAACGTTTTGATGCTCTGTGCGTAGGGTCTGGATGAAGCTGGTCCCACTGAAGATGAATTTGAATCAGAAGCTGATGACGGTGTGTTATCAACCGTTCCTTGTTTATTGTGCTGATTTTGCCAAACGTACCCTCTTCAAGTAGTTTTTTTTTTTTTGCCACTCAGCAGTGTTCAAAGGCACAGCACCCTACGGGAGAGGGAGGGGGGGAGGGCAAAGATGACAGAGAGGAATTTAGGGTCACCTCACGGCTATTAACCAATCAGAAGTGGCCACCAAAAGTAATTGTTGTGATTGATTCTTTTTTACGCGTTGGTGATTGGTCTATTTTAGTCATGTCAATGTGATTATGCTTTCTCATTGGCCAGCAAGTTTGGCAAGCGTGCAAGACAACTGTTCAGGTTTAGGGATCTCCATCACAGAAAAAGTAGAAAAAGCAGGGGGGGAGGACTTTGGTTGTGGCGATAAATTTAGCTGATCCCCTCTTAGAGGCTTTGCCGTTGATTTCTCACAATTCCCCCTCACCCTTTTATTGGTAGTCATTTTTCTGTAGTCCCCTCCTTTCTGCTTTGTTGGCGACAACTGATTCCTCCTCCATTTCCCCCTGTAAACCGTTTGATCCCCTCTAACATCCCCCGACCCTCTTAGGTGTTTGTCTATCCTGTAAACAGTTACATGTATTTATTATGGAGGTCTCCTTCAAATGAACAACAATTTTCTGTTTACTTGCAGGCCGACCATCATTTCTGAGCAATCTTAGAAACCCCAGCAGAATGGTTCCTCAGCAGAAGCCAGGAGATGCTGTACCGATCATAAATACGTGGTCCTTATTTCTTTTCCCACCTGGAAATCCGTAAGTGAAAACAGGACGAAATTCGAAATCTTCCATCTTCACTTTCATTTTGTGAGAAAGTAATTGCAATGAAGAGCGTTTGATATAATGTAGAAGTTTAGCGATCGGTTGCTCAAGTATTTATTTTTTTGCAAGGCATTTTAAAGCTGCATGGTGTGCTATTTAAGGTATGCCACAGGGACACCTTTGCCAGGTGGTCAAAGGGTTAAACACGGGTCGTCTGCCTATTTTCAGTTTGTATTTTGCTCTATTCGAAATATTTCACGTACATCTGTATGAAATTTAATAAGTTGTGAGTACACTCAAGTGAATAATGTAGAAACGAGAAATATGTTTGCATCATCGGGATTTTTTGGTCGAAGACCTTAGAAAAAAAGCAAAGTAATCTGAATACCCAATCAGAAGAGGGGAAATTATCACAAGAAACCAATCAGAACAAAGGCTTATACGGAACCAATCAGAACAAAGGTTATTGTCAAAAGGAACCAATCAGAACAAAGGTTATTGTCAAAAGGAACCAATCAGAACAGAGGCAATCGTCAAGAGGAACCGATCAGAACAAAGGTAATTGTCATAAGGAACCAATCCGAATGTAAATAAACAATGCCCTGTAGCGCTTGAAAACGCGGTTAGCTTGTGATTCCCTATTGGAAATAGCTACAGTGCCTCTGGCAATAAAATGAAAGGAGGTCATGTTATGTTGCTGGTCTTTTCTTTAGAGTACGGAAAGCATGTCACTGGCTGGTGAATTTAAGGCATTTTGACAACTTCATCCTGGTCATCATTCTTATAAGCAGCGTCTTATTGGCTCTTGAAGATCCAGTTAACGAAAATTCCAAAAGAAACGAGGTAAGAACCCGCGCAGTTTAAGTAGCCACTGTAAAGAGGTAAAGGTTACAGTGACAGTAATGACCACCGTGTGGTTCTAAGGTAAGTCTGCTGGGAGAGAGGTCTGGGTTCGAGATCCGACCAGGTCAATGTGTTGTGTTCTTGGACAAAACTCTTTACTCTCACTGGGCCACTTTGCACCCAGGCCCCTGTGCCACTTCGCACTCAGGCCGCTGTGCTACTTTGCACCCAGGCCGCTGTGCCACTTTGCACTCAGGCCCCTGTGCCATTCTGCACCCAGGCCCTTGTGCCACTTTTCACCTAGGCCCCTGTGCCACTTTGCACCCAGGCCCCGGTTGTTCAAAGGTTAGATAACGCTATCTTCTGGATAAATCTCTATTCGGTAGATAGCGCACAACGTTTTCCTAGCACTTATCCGCTGGATAGCGATTTATCCGTTGAATAGCATTATCCACCCTTTAAACAACATGGCCCAGGAGTATGAAGGGGTATCGGCGAATTGTCAGGGAAGCTTGACTGCAAGTCGCCTCATGTTAAAGAAACTTTGGCTTGGGTGGGTGACTTGGCTCGAGAACAAACTTTTACGATATGTGCAACTGTAGAGAGCTGACCGTTTGAAGTGGTTTGCTTTTTTAATCACCCCTTCTTTGTCCTGGTGTCACTCTTGTGCAGCCTCATGGCATCGTTTGTATTATGATATAACGATAAGTGGTGAGTGACTAGGTGTAATAACGATGATTTCTTTTGAATGTTTTAGGTGCTCACGTATTTTGACTATGTGTTCACGACAATATTTGCAATGGAGGTATTTGTCAAGGTAATCTATCTTAAATTTCCTGTATTTGTATTTTCCAGTCAACACAAGCACCATGCGGAAAGGTCAAAGTAACTTAAGGGAGCTTAATGAAACATAGTTTCAGAAATACTGTGATTTCATTTTTTTTCTTTAACCTTTACCACGTTAAGAATCACCCAACTGGCTCTTTGTAGCCGGAGTGTCAAAAATGATCCGCGATTGCGTAAGTTTTATTTTTCTGCGCTTGGTGATTGGTTCAAACTCTCGCTGCCCTTTTAACCGATCAGAGACAAAACTAAAACCAATCGTAACTTTGGTCGGTTTCCTGTGTTTTCATTGACTCTTCTGAAGTTGTTCCTTGTTCTGATTGCTTGCTGTAAAAGTCCATTTCACAGTTGCGTGCTTGGTTGCCAAGCCTTTGAACAGGAGTGAGGCTAAGGGTGACCTTGTAATGATAGAAACGTTGCTGCCTATGAAACGTAAATTACTTTGTTATCATGTTATCTAGAAAATGGTCTCTATTACAACAGGGTCACCTTCAGCCTCAATCCAAACCAAAGGCTTGGCAACTAAATGGCCTATTACTATAGCATTAGTCGTGGTTTTTACGACCATCAATAGAAGATCTAAATCCCGATTAAAAAAAAACCTTCCTTACCATAGCTGTGGACTGTTTTTCTCTTACAGCTGGTTGATTATGGAGCTATTCTTCACCCTGGCTCGTACTTCAGAGATGCCTGGAACTGTATTGATGCTCTGGTAGTATCATGTGCCATAGCATCGCTTGTGATGGGGTAAGAAGGATTGTTTTTAATGCCTTGCTTTACCCTTTACCCTTTACACCCTAGCATCATGCATATTCTCCAAATTGTTCCCCATACATTTCCTGAGGTAACAATCAGGAGCTTCTCTAGTTGATGATCATTTCCTACATTCTTGTGACCTTATTGTGTTTGATTCAGCGGTTTTTTGTTTGGAGAAATTCAATGCATATCCCTCTTAATGGTCTAAGGGTTAAGAGGATGGCTCCAATGAGCTTTGGGTGTGGACACTTTGCTTTCAAAGTACCCTTTTGCACTGCATCGTCAGGAAAACGTGACGAAATGCTGAGGTGGGTGGGGGGGATGGGGCCATTAAGTCCAAGCAAAATCATTCCAAGTCACGTTTGTTCGCAAACCGAGACTAGCTCCGTCAGTCTTTGCCACTTGTAGGATTGACCTTAACTTTTAACCAACAAAGAAAATTTACTTCAAAACAGCAATATTGTCTTACCGATGAAAGGTCAGTAGGCGAAAGGTTTCCGCTGTGGGGCAGGTATTTCTTTCACACGGAAATAGAATAATTACTCAATTTTTATCTTTTCACTGGCACTTCACGATTTTAAGACTACTCAGTAGTTCCTCTGGCCTTGAAAATCGTAGTTGTTTTCTGCGCTGAATTGAATAGTTCTGCGTGATTATTATTGGCACCTGAATTAATTATTTATGTTTTGTTTGTTTGTTTCGTGCAGCAATCAGGACCAATCCACGATTAACCCACAGTCTAAGAAGACTGTAAAAGTTTTGCGAGTTCTCAGGGTTCTTCGGCCACTCAAAGCGATCAACAAAGCCAAGAAATTGAAGGTGCAGTTGATTATGATTCTAGACTTTTATTTGGTTCATTCAAGGAAACAAGACTTGGGGCCTGTTTCTCGAAAGTCCCGGTAACATGGCTTCGGTCCTTTCGAGAAACAGGCCCTTGGACCGTTAAAAACGAGACGAAAACGAAAAATGTCGAGGCGAAAAGCTCTATTATTACACCAACACAAATTACGCACATCTTATCGGCTGTGCACAAGCTGATTGGATCAATGAAAGGATCTGAGCAACTACATACCAACCCCCCCGTCCCATGACCAGTATTAACCCTAACTTGTTATCAGTTGACTGTTGTTTGGTTTGGGGAGGGGCTGGAGCGCAGTTGCTTAGAGCCTGATATTGATCCAGCTTATTCATGTAACTCGAAACCACGTCAAAACAAACGGTGCACCCTAACAGGTTCCCTGATCACTTATGTGTTCATATAATAAAATGCCTTAACATGTAATTTTAAGGCCTTGTCAGTTAAGGTATGTTCAGTCTGAGCTTCAAAATTTTTACTGGTACAAGAAAAGTGCAAGTGTTTCTGAAGTGTTACAAAAGTGTATAATGATAACCTACAGGGGGATATACGGGAAGCGCGGTGGCCGACTGGTTAGTGCGCTCGACTTCAGATCGAGTGGTCTGGGTTCGAGCTCTAGCCGGGGACATAGTTTTGTGTTCTTAGGCAAGACACTTTACACTCACAGCGCTTCTCTTCACCCAGGTGTTTAAATAGGTACCAGCGAATTTAATACTGTGGGGGGGGGGGAGCATTACGCTTGACTGTATCACTTCTAGGGGGGAGTAGATATATTCCTATTCGCGTCATGCTCTGGAAACCGGAGTTAAGCGCCGGCCTGATGGGCCACTTTGCTTGTAAACAGACTTTAACAGGGGAATATCATCTAACAATATTTTTGTGCCATTACAGGCTGTGTTCCAGTGTATGGTTTACTCACTGAAGAATGTTCTCAACATTCTGATCATCACTTTATTGTTTCTGTTCATCTTCTCTGTTATTGGAGTTCAGCTTTTTCAGGTAACTTGCTTTATCGATAGATGATATCTTTATTCCAGGCGTGATTTCTCCAGCATTTGATAAGCCTGGTGCAGGCTTTCGGTCAGCGGAGAAGAACAAAAGTGTGGGTGAGCCAAAAAGTGCGGTTGTTAAGGAGACGGCCTCCTAATTTTTTTTTTTCTTTTACCTGACTTCCCGCCTTGTTTTGAAATTCCGCCTTTTCGTTTGTTTCTTCTGACCGAGAGCTTGACACACGGCAGGTTAGCATGAGGTATTATAATCCCTAGCACGCCCTAAAATGCCTGTACAACCCTTGTATCTGAATCCCCCTCCCATTAGTTTGAACCCCCCTCCCATTAGTTTGAACCCCCCTCCCATTAGTTTGAACCCCCCTCCCATTAGTTTGAACCCCCCTCCCATTAGTTTGAATCCCCCTCCCATTAGTTTGAACCTCCCTCCCATTAGTTTGAACCCCCCTCCCATTAGTTTGAACCTCCCTCCCATTAGTTTGAACCCCCCTCCCATTAGTTTGAACCCCCCTCCCATTAGTTTGAACCCCCCTCCCATTAGTTTGAACCCCCCTCCCATTAGTTTGAACCCCCCTCCCATTAGTTTGAACCCCCCTCCCATTAGTTTGAACCCCCCTCCCATTAGTTTGAACCCCCCTCCCATTAGTTTGAACCCCCCTCCCATTAGTTTGAACCCCCCTCCCATTAGTTTGAACCNAAATAAATTCAAATGATGATGGTTTTTGAAGAGAGGGGAAAACCGGAGTACCCGGAGAAAAATCTCTCGGAGCAGAGTAGAGAACCAACAAACTCAATCCACTTATGACGCCGGGTCCGGGAATCGAACCCGAGACACATTAGTGGAAGGCGAGCGCTCTCACCACTACGCCAACCCTGCTCTCCCTCAAAGAAGTCTATGAAATAGTTCATACGCCACCGAATAACCCACAAACCTATAAGTTTGTGACAAATGTTTTCTCTTCTTTTCGCAGAGGAAAATACCTGCATTACCCTGACTTGACGGACATGTCCAAAGTTGAGGTTAGTAGCTCGGCAGACCTAAACATGCCCCCTGGAAAAATGCTTACTGCCAATTATGTTTTTCTCGCTTTACATTGATCTCATCGTCGACAATGAGCGCTGTCGTTTAGAAATGATTAAGACGTGAGACGAGATTGGTCACCTCCCTCTCTATGTCACGCAGCATATTTTTAGAAGCGTCACGTGACATCAACCGTGACAGCCTCGAAAACCAGTATCTGATCTGGAATGCGAAACTACATTGTTGAAATGAGTCCTTATGGTGGCAACGGAAATGGGCATAAATAGGCAGAAATCTTCAAATGATAGCATCAAAGTTCTAAGAATAAATCGAAAGGGAGCAAGGGGCGTTTGAAAACGGAGAAGATCTAACGCTTTTCATTCCACTAATCTATTCGTGTTTTTCTCGTCGCCATGTTCCCACCAGTGGCGTAGCTCCGCTTTCTGCATATAAATCCACATACAACCCACGATTCCTCCATTCCCTCTGACTGATGAAGGGCTAACGCTCGAAACGTCAGCTTTTTTATTCGTTACGGTGGCCAATTTACAATTTCAACTTAGTTGATATAACCAAATCACCTTGTTACCCCCAACGACGCAGCACCACAGTTCCTTTAGAAACTCTCAGCCTTTATTCGAAGATCTAAACAGATTCGAGACGACGGTGTTGAAACGTAAAGAAAGATGTCTTTCGTCTTGTCATGGGTGTGCGACCAAAAACAACATAATCATCACTCGTCCGGGTTCCGCGCTCCTATGTGCTATCACTGAACCTCAGAGACTCTTCGGGTGAGCTAGGCTATAACTAGTTTCGTATGTGACACGACCTTGCATGCTGCACAGATCAGCAATGTTTAAGGCGTCATGAAGCTATACATAGTGATATTGTTAATTTTTTTAAACAAGTCTACGTGATTAGTTTAATTTAACACAAACTCTTTCACGAATGTGTGTCATCATATGATCCTATTAGGTCAAAGATCGAACATGGTCAGGTCAAGACTACAATTTTGACAATGTAATCCAAGCAATGTTAGCGCTGTTTACGTCATCCACAGGAGAGGGCTGGCCAGCGTAAGTTACCCCCCCCCCCTTCAACAGGAGAATAGCTTGTAACTTCTGTCAATATCATTACATGAGCCAGCAATAAGCTGATTGAATGAGAAAAAGAACTCAACAAGAGGTTGTTGTCTTGATGTGAAAGGAAATTCTCATAACTAATTTGCAAAGTAATTAGGAACAATTTGAAGGGAGAATTACGTCTGAGGTCTTGAGGTTCACGGATATAACAATGGATTCAGGGCCAGTTTGTAAAAGCAGACGGAAAAATGTAAACAGAAGAAAGTGAGCTTTTGATCGTTGAATAAATTTTGTGCCCATTTTCAACACTCGACACCTAAAAAACCGTTCCTTGTTTATTGGCTCCTACCTTTTCAAGCCAAATAAGAGCCCTCCCCCCCCCCCTACCCCGGCGAAATTCTGACTCACTAACCGCTGAACAGAATTTTACTTTGTCCTCTTGCAGACTCATGCAGGCCTCTATCGATACCACAGAAGTCGATCGTGGACCGATCGTGGATAACAAAGTCGAGATTTTGCTCTTTTATATTTTCTTTGTCGTGGTTTTTTCGTTTTTCTTCTTAAACATTTTCGTGGCTCTCATCATCCTCACTTTTCAAGAACAAGGAGAAAAAGACCAGGGAGAGTGTGAACTGGACGGGAATCAGGTGAGTTGTCGGTCTTAGGTGAACAAAAGTTCGTAAGATTGTACAAAATCGATTGAGACGCATTCGGATTAACGGGGGAAAGGAAAAAATAGGGAAAAAAGTCAGTAATTGTTTGTTAGAAATCTTTTTAGTTTATTTTTGAAGAACTCTAGGGTTGGACTGTTTTAAATTTTGCAGCTAAGAGTATTAAGACCTTGAAAGGAAACGGAGGACTGTCCCATGTGTGTGACAATCTTGTCTGCGTGACAGCATTTAAAATAATATGAGAAAGAGATACCGCTTTGAATTTTTCCCTTAAAACAGAATAGCTCCAATGGATGAATTCAATGCGTAAGAACTTCAATTTAGAAGCGAAAATCCATCCTACCAGTTTACTGGAAAGTATTTCTTAAGAAAAATCTTCTTTTCTTTTCATCAGAGAGATTGTCTCCATTTTGCTATTGTGGCCAAACCCTCAGAGAGATTCATGCCGGAAGATCCTAACACGTGGCAGTACCGTATATGGACAATCGTGGACTCCAGACCGTTTGAATATTTTATCATGTTGCTCATTGCTCTCAATACGCTCATTCTAACTATGAAGGTGAGTATGGAACCCAGCATACAGCTGTTCATAGGCCGATTAGCCCTTACCCAGGGTTAAATTTTAATTCAGGTTTCTTTATTTTTCTGTTCAAAAGCCCTTTTGGGATACTTTTCCCAATTCTTTTTGGAGCATTCAATCATCAAATTGTAGACAAATGGAATTAAACTGAATTTTCTTTCACGGCTTTCAGACCAGAAATCAAATTTTACACCAACCCTGTGTTATCTTTACCCAGCTTTGAACAACCCGACCCAGGCTTTTGTCATCACTCAAAACCCAGTTGACGCACCGGAGTCCCAGAGAAGGGGGAGAATGGGGAGAAAGGGGAGGAGGGGGGGAGTCCTCTTGCAACTCAATCGCTGTCCAGAAGTAATTATCGTAGCGCTCTGATAGACCCCATCTCCCATGAACCAACCGCCCAGAGCTTCTCATAAGCTCCCTGTAAGTAAGCCCCTCCCTCCATCCCCAAATAGATAGATACTCAGATTTAGCTTATCCTTTTGGGCCAATAAGCGTTGCAGTAACTGTACTTGATTGCGACCAATCACAGAGTGAAGTNAAATTATAATTACAATAACTACAATAGGGAAGATAAAAATATACAGATGTATTTATATATATAAAATGTTAAAAATCAAAATCGACTGATCAGAAGATGATTTGTCAGCTTACGTTTAAAAATGTTCGTCGAGGAGCTCAATTTTATATCCCTGGGTAAGTTGTTCCAAATGGTCACTGCGCGGTATAAAAACTTCGCTGGCCCGTAGCAGTTTTGTAGCGCGGTATGTCCAGTGTATATGCATTGCGAGTCGAGCGGCCGCTAATCGTGCCTCTCTTAATGAATCTAGAACTAAGGTTGCTCGGTGCCATACCGTTCATGCACTTGTACTTAAATGTTATCACGGCATCACGATAAAATAGATAGTCTTTAACTGGCATCCAATGAAGCTGTTAAAGTTAAGGATCGGTGTAATATGGTCAAATTTTCTTGATCCGGTAACTATACGGGCAGCAAAGTTCTGAATAGCCTGTAACTTATTGATATTTGTAACAGAAGTGTTTGACTATATGCTTGAACAATAGTACATTTTACTGAAAACTAATCTCTTAATTATGGTTAAAAGTAAGTCTTTGTCGAAAGCATGTTTGGCGCGATTTATTTGGGTCAGGCTTGATATACAGGTTGACACGGTCTTAACAGTATGATCACTGAAAGTAAGCTGATTATCAAAAATCACACCTAGGTCCCTAGAACAACGGGTAGGGACCAGATCTTTACCAAGCAAAGACAGGAACATCTATTGTGTCGGTTTTTTGTTCTCATATTCATAAAAAAGAACAATTGTCTTGATAGTAGTTAAAAATATTAATTCAGTGCTTATCTGTAATTGTTTTCTTTTTTCTTTTTTTCGTTTTAAAAGAATTACTTCCGAGACAACTGGAACGTTTTCGACTTCATCATCGTCTTGGGGAGTTTGTTGGACTTCGCTTTGACGACTTTCCAGGTAATACAAACAATGAAATTAGTCAACAACAAAACAGTTTCTCGTTTATGTGATAGTGGAGTATTAAAGTTCCGGGAAATACTGAAAAGTTCTTGTTGATGAGAGTTATCGGAGGATGGTCTGGGGAAGAAATGCCAGAAGTTATTAAAGAATGGAAGAACCAACGATGTATGTCTCCATTTTTTTAATGTTGTTCAAACGATGACGGGTACATTAAAGAAAANGAATTGGCGCGTTGTTGTGTTGCTGTTTCTATTTTCTTCATTAAATGAAGAAATTTTCTGGTCGTCAAACTGTTTTTCTTTGTTCGATTCATCCAATAAACTTGGATCTAAATTTGCCAGCCATTCTGACTCTTCGTCGTCGGAAATATGATTCAAATTGTCCGCCACTTTTTGGTTTTTTTCGTAACTACAATCCAATTCTTCGCTTGCGCGATGCGAGAAAACCTGGTTAACCGGTACTCTACAATAGACGAGTACAAATACCGCGTGATATTTGTACTCGTCTATGGCGTTATTTGTACTCGTCTAAGTGTAGTTGGATAATAAGGGACCGTATTTCACAGGCGAAACGATCAGGAAAGAGCGCGGTAATGTAATTGGACCAAGGGGGAAAGCCCTTTCGAGTTTACGGTATTTTCGAGGTATCTATGGTAAAATTACGGTAAATCTTTGGAGCAATTCGAAAGGAAATCAATTTCGTTTTTAATGCGCGTGAACTTGGAGTTATCGATGGTTTTGGTTACAGGGGGGGTAATGGTACTCTGCTTTAGAGATCTGCGCGCAGTTATCAAGCAATTGAAGTCGTCTTTGTGCATACTTTGTTGCTTTTCATTTGCAGTTCACTCTTTCATTCTACTTGCTAACTCCTTGGTCATTAGGATTATAAGTTAATCCTAACTCAGCTCTCAGGTTACATTTAATCTCAATCGCTTCACTCTATTTTCCTCGCAGTCTGAAGATAGCCAGCAGATCCCTTTCGACGTCAGTCTCTTCCGTCTCTTCAGGGCAGCCAGGCTGATCAAGCTGTTAAGACAGGGTTACACAATCAGAATATTGTTGTGGACCTTTCTTCAATCATTCAAGGTGAGCCAAACTATCTAATAGCGTGAGAGTCAATCAAATGTGCTTTTATATTTGAATATAATTCGCTATAAGAACCGGTTACGTCAAAATAAAGGCGGAGTATAGTTTGGCGAAAAGCAGATTTCCTACACTGTACACAGTGTGCCAAAAGAACTTCAGTTTGCTCTTGGTTTGATCCGATCTGGTTTGCATATAGTCAAATCTATTTCAATTTACATGCGGCTAGTTTTCAGTCTCCAGACGGACGCTTGAATCATGCGTATACAAAAGGGATGTGAACATGGCTTTTTGAGGTAATGAAAAGTACTCTCTCTGTCGTGAGACTCAACATCACCATGGTCACCAGTGAAATATTGCCTCCATCGAGCGCCAAGAGGAGGCATACCATGGAGTTTATTTACTTCAATTTTCTTAACTGTATGAGCGTTCTTTGTTGCAGGCATTACCTTATGTCGGTATGCTTATCGGTCTCTTGTTCTTCATCTATGCGGTCATCGGCATGCAGGTATGACGTACTCTAATATTTTAGTTTACTCCATTTTCACTGCAATTATACTATCACATGATGATGATAATAATAGTAATAATAATAATAATGATAATATTAATAGTAATAATAATAACAGTATTAATAATTACAATTACAATAAAAATCTAAGTCCATAACGAAGAAGTGGTGTAGACTAGAAGGGAACTGACGAACTATGCGTGCTAGTCAACCCATTTTAAAAAAGCTAACTTACTAACTAGCAACCTTAAGATAACAACAATTATAATAACAATTGATAAAAATCTAAGTCCATAACAAGGCAGTGGGGTAGACTAGAAGGGAACTGACGAACCATGCGCGTTAGTCAACCCGTTTTAAAAGACTAACTTACTAACTAGCAACCTTAAGATAATAACAATTATAATAACAATTGATAAAAATCTAAGTCCATAACAAGGCAGTGGGGTAGACTAGAAGGGAACTGACGAACCATGCGCGTTAGTCAACCCATTCTAAAAGAATAACTGAGTAACTAGCAACTTTACTGACTAACTGCTGATTTCAGCCCAGGTGGGGTGGTATGTGGGCGCTCAGGGTCGAAGACCTTATCTTTACAGAAGGTAGTGCGTAATGGAGGAACGTTTTGCGTTACGGATTCGCGATTTTTCCTTTGTGTGCTTGCTGGAACAAGTTCCTGCAGTTCACGAAGGCGAATTGAATGGAAAATGTGTTTCTATCACATAGTTGCTGAGAGCCTGGGGCCAGGGTGCATTGTGATAGTAATAAATGGATGTAATTGACGCTGTGGTCTTTTGTAGATGTTTGGCCAAATCAGCATTAACAATGACGAGCGTGGCGAGCCATGGTCCCAGATCACTTCCCGGAATAACTTCCAGTCATTTCCAGAAGCCATTCAAGTACTCTTTAGGTAGGAACACTACTTTGCCATTTGTCCTTTTTCCTAAAAGCGTTTAGGTCATACCGCAGATATATAACTCGCACTGACTGGTAGCTCATCCGATAGGAAACTTNTAACTAGCAACCTTAAGATAATAACAATTATAATAACAATTGATAAAAATCTAAGTCCATAACAAGGCAGTGGGGTAGACTAGAAGGGAACTGACGAACCATGCGCGTTAGTCAACCCGTTTTAAAAGACTAACTTACTAACTAGCAACCTTAAGATAATAACAATTATAATAACAATTGATAAAAATCTAAGTCCATAACAAGGCAGTGGGGTAGACTAGAAGGGAACTGACGAACTATGCGTGCTAGTCAACCCATTTTAAAAAAGCTAACTTACTAACTAGCAACCTTAAGATAATAACAATTATAATAACAATTGATAAAAATCTAAGTCCATAACAAGGCAGTGGGGTAGACTAGAAGGGAACTGACGAACTATGCGTGCTAGTCAACCCATTTTAAAAAAGCTAACTTACTAACTAGCAACCTTAAGATAACAACAATTATAATAACAATTGATAAAAATCTAAGTCCATAACAAGGCAGTGGGGTAGACTAGAAGGGAACTGACGAACCATGCGCGTTAGTCAACCCATTCTAAAAGAATAACTGAGTAACTAGCAACTTTACTGACTAACTGCTGATTTCAGCCCAGGTGGGGTGGTATGTGGGCGCTCAGGGTCGAAGACCTTATCTTTACAGAAGGTAGTGCGTAATGGAGGAACGTTTTGCGTTACGGATTCGCGATTTTTCCTTTGTGTGCTTGCTGGAACAAGTTCCTGCAGTTCACGAAGGCGAATTGAATGGAAAATGTGTTTCTATCACATAGTTGCTGAGAGCCTGGGGCCAGGGTGCATTGTGATAGTAATAAATGGATGTAATTGACGCTGTGGTCTTTTGTAGATGTTTGGCCAAATCAGCATTAACAATGACGAGCGTGGCGAGCCATGGTCCCAGATCACTTCCCGGAATAACTTCCAGTCATTTCCAGAAGCCATTCAAGTACTCTTTAGGTAGGAACACTACTTTGCCATTTGTCCTTTTTCCTAAAAGCGTTTAGGTCATACCGCAGATATATAACTCGCACTGACTGGTAGCTCATCCGATAGGAAACTTCCTTCTGAAAACTGAGACAATGCGTGTCCTTATGCTTGTGTAAGTACAATAACGCATGTTACCAAAATATTCTGAAGGCACTGAGTACTGTTATACTCAGTGCCAAGATCTTACGATTCCTGCGTTACTCACCTGTAAATGTCGATTGGCTGGCTGAAAAGATTGTCATGCTTCTTACGTTACTATTTTTGCAGGTCCGCAACAGGTGAAAACTGGCACCTCATCATGAAGGCTTGTGCAAGCGATGCAGACTGTCAGCTGACCGACAAGAAATGTGGCAGCACGTTCGCGTATTTGTACTTCATCTCCTTCATTTTCTTTTGTTCCTTTCTGGTTAGTTTTATTTTCTGGCTGTTTTCTTTTTAAATTTTACTAATTTTGTTTCGTGAAACTAATCACTTATTGCCGGACTGACTGACAGTAATAGATCAGTCAATCTCTCGGCTGATAATATAGTTGGTTCATGATTTCATTTATAACCAAGACCTTCTCTTATTTTTACGACAGCTTTTGAATCTCTTCGTGGCTGTCATCATGGACAATTTCGAGTACTTGACACGTGATGAATCTATTCTCGGTCCTCACCACCTGGACGAGTTTGTCCGCGTGTGGTCTGAGTTCGATCCAGGAGCCACGTAAGTTTCTCTATTCCGTCACGTGTGTTCGTGAAAGGTTAAAGAAGAGGGCATATTGATTAGTTGTCGTGGACCAAGCACGGCCAATCAGAACGCAACCAAAAAAAAAAACAACCAAACTGTCTAAAGCGCGGGAAAACGCGGTCGACCAAAGCGTGGTTGGTTTAGAAGTGGTGGAACAGAGAATTAACTCTGACGGATTAGATCTACCGTTGCTCTGCCGACTAAGTAACGAGGTCGGACAGAGAAAGTTTAAGTTTGCATCTGATTGGTGGAGAGAACGGTGCGAGTTTCCTGGACCAATCACAAAGCGAAGTAATGCAAAAACAATCCAATCCCGGATTGCTTTTGACACTCAGTTGAAAATTGCTCTATTATGTCGATTGACTCTCCTGGCACTAACGGAAAGAATTGACGCACAAAAGAACAAACAAATGAACAAGAAAATGGACCGGCGAAGGAACAAACGATCAAACAAACAGATTTGTAATGCAAAGAATCAACGACAGAACAAGGGAAGCAATAAAGCGATGAAGCAATAGTTTACTTATACCTTCATTTGTGTGTTTCCTTTTCCTCAGAGGTCGCATCAAACACACAGAAGTATGTCAATTGTTACGACAAATGTCTCCTCCAGTAGGAATCGGAAAGAAGTGTCCCAAGATTGTTGCTTACAAAGTAAGTGAAAAGCAAATTTGAACTTAAGATAATTTACTTGTCAAAGGAGAACACTCTGACTGTCAAGTCAAAAGTATGCTCCCTATTTGCGCCATACAGCACGGTGGCCAAACGTGTGCACAAGTGCGAACGTCATAAAGGCGAGATGACCGCTTAGTCTGTGAATACCAAGTTGTCCTGAAGCTCAAAACAGAATGGTATTTTAACAATAAACCTCTTATTAAGTTAACTTCGTGGACGAAAAGTCGAATTTCCTCTTCCCTATTTTTGTTGCCTGTTACAAATTTCTGTGAACGTGTATTATTTCTTCGCACATTTTGCGTGGCAGTGGTTGTTTCTTATGTATTCTCTTGCATTTTTCTTACGCGTGAAATTGGCGCGCAACTGGCCAAAATTGATCCCCTCACGTGTGCCCTTCGTTTGATCACTGTGTTGCACCATAGTAGCAGGGTCATGGCTTCTGAGATTGTTTCAGATATGATCGCACGAATCACTAACCTTCGTCGGTTTCTTTTTCAGCGCCTGATCAAGATGAACATGCCGCTGCACTCAGACAACACGGTTACCTTTACTGCTACTCTGTTTTCCCTGGTGCGAACGTCTCTCAAAATTATGACAGAGAAAAGTAAGAAATGACATCGTTATGTTTGCAAGTTGATACCAAACAATTTTTTTTATGTTTGATTTTCGAAAATTATCAAAGGTGGGTTTTGGTGGGAGTACACTGACCCAATGTGAGGAGGTCCGTGGAACTACGTATTGGAAGGGTCTGAGTTTTTACCCTGCCCAAGGTTATCTAGGTCCTTTCTCACATAAGTAGACTGGATCGAGTACAAGGGTCGAGGAGCCTAAGAACAAGAAAACTTCAGGCGAAATAGTGTGAAACATCATTCCTGTCTTGCTTAGCGGCACAACTCAGAAACGTTTGTAATGAAAGAAAGTAAAAGCCAAGCAGAACGGGTCTAAGCATAAATAAAGCTGGCTTTGCTTTTTTACAATATTTTACGTCTAAGTTGCCTCCAAATAGTTCGCTCCTGGGGTTTTAACAATTTTACTTCGTTAACCCTTTAGTCCGTAACATCATTATGTAATTTTTCCACACTGTTCTCTGTGCATTTTCTAAGGCGTTGACAGGGAAGATTTGTCTGATAATCAAGTGCTTCTCTAGTTGAAGATCATTTCCTTTATTCTCACGACCTTTATGTGTAATTCAGGAGTGATAATGTAAGGAGAAATTAGATGCTGGTCACTCTTTGGGGTTGAAGGGTTAATGGAGGAACGGTCGTTTGCACCCCACTTGTCTCCACCACCTATTTTCATCTGGGAAACGTAAAGAATTGCTGATGTGGGTGACTTGCTATGGACTTGAATCCCAGCGTTCCATCCGGGAAGTGTAGCATTGATCTTTGTTGCTTTTTCTAGATAATCTAAAGGAGAACGATAAAGAATTGAGAGCCATGTTGAAACGAGTTTGGCCCAAACTTACCAAGAAGACATTGGACAGAGTGGTGCCCAAACCCCCAAGTCTCATCAACAATGGTATGCATACTCCGTGCAGTACGTGGAATAGGCCATTTTACAGTTGTGTACTTAGTTGTCAAGCCTTAGATTTGGAATGAGGCTGAAGGTGACCGTGTTGTGATAGAGACCAGTATCTATTTAGTATGACAACAAAGTTATTTACATTTGAAAAGCATCAACGTTTGTATCATAACAAGGTCGTCCTCGGCCTCAGTCTTCTTCAAAGGCTTGGCAACCAAGCACGTAACTATAAAATGGACTATTCCTTTAGTAGACATTTTCTTTTTTTTCTTGGACCAGGCTGTTTAGTTCTTGTAGTGGTGATTGTTTTCCCCCTTTTTTTTTTTTTTACCATCGATATGTGGAGTTTCATTTTGATGAGAATAGTTTACAGATTTCTTCGCGGTTCTTTTCCTCAGCGAATCAAGTGAACCAGCAGCCACAGATGACAGTGGGTAAGATCTATTGCGCCAAACTCATCTACGAAAACTATAAGTTCATGAGACGGAAAGGGCAAGTTCAATCTAAGGTGAGTGAGGCAGGAAGCTGAACAACTGAATTAGATAGACGAAGCGTTTTTAAACTACGAAAATTTATTAATAAAAGGAGTTCGGTAGCTTGTGTAGGTGGCCGTTTTGTCAGGATGTTTTAATAGCGAGTTAGCTCCGTTCGTTTCTGAAGCCTCATCACTGCCTTCGAGAACCCGAAAAACCGCCAGCTCTTCTGGCCAAGGGATCAGAAGATGTGTTTATTCCAATGCTTTCTGGGTAGGTCACGTGATAAGTTTGCCAGGACCATGGGAACAGATACGAGATAGGGCCGTCGAATCACGCTCCAAGGATGTTCTCGAAAAAAATTTGCATTAGAACAGTTGGCTCAAAATTGTAACTTTTCTGTCCAATTTCCCACAAGGCGAGTCTTTTTGGTTCGCTTTTCATTCCCAAGAGCAAAATTTATGTCCCAAGAATAGGATTATTGTTTCTGTGAAATCGAGCTGAATACCGGTTGCTCTTGACTCTCGACAACTGCCTCAGACTCCTGGTTCTCGAACTGGCTCGCAGCTCTCCTTGACCGGGAAGGCACCTGCGTTGCCGGAGAACCGGGGCGACAGTGTGCTGGAAAATGGCTACCACCCAGCCGTCTTCCTCATCCATTTAATCTTTTATTGCTCACGGGTTCTTCGTTGCTGAACGCCGTATATTATTCGCGTATGCTTTGTTCTTACATTGTTTGATGTTTTCTCACTAGCAAAGCTCAAGTTCTGTTTTAATGCTGTTCGCACACTGCATACGATTCTTATACTAATCTTTAAATCAAGCCGAATTTTAACTTGCTCAATTCCACGAAGTATTCCGCAATAACATTATGGACATCTAAAAGAAGCCGCGATAAATAAGCCTAAACTTGTTTCACTTGTTTTCTGCACGAGCTGTTTCTCTATTAAGAACGACTTTTCTTGCTCAAAATGACGCGTTCACGAACTTAAAAAAAAAATCTTTTAACTTAAAATCTTTTTAATCTTAAACTTTAAAACTCTATTTGTTAAATATAATTTTTAAGGAACAAAGTTATTTCCAGGGCTCTTTCCTCGGCCGTCCCCTAAGAAACAGGGAGCCTGTGAACAAGACAGGAAGTCACTATTAAAGTTTTCAGTAAGAAGCATCAACAAAATTAACAACAGCTCCTAAAGACGACGATCTAAATGATTATCTTAAAGCCATGAACTGATTATGATGATAATAATAATAACGATAATAATATTAATAAAAAATGACAATAGTAGTTATAATGATGAAAGTAATAATATCAATGATAACAATTTTATTTGAAGAATTTCTTCTCATCTTCATCTCTCTTTCCTTTCTCTTCTCTTTCATGGAGCAGGATTCTGACCAGGTGGGTTTCACTTCATATTCTTAACTTTGTCTCCATCTTTCTTCTTTATTTCTCTATTATTTTATCCAAAACAGTGTTCATCAAAAACCACCAAGTGAGAGAGATTTTTAGCATATGATCGACTGACGGATCGATTGATTGATTGATTGATCTTTTCGTTCAATCACTGGCTGCTTAATTGATTGCTATGACAATTTTAGAGGTTTTTTTTTTTTGTAAGCGATCAGGCAAGCTGTTTCTTTTGCAAGTTTTATTTTTCTTCCTCTATTTTTCTTTTTTTCCATATCTCTGTTTTTCCTCACCATCGACTGGTGTTGATTTCCCAGGGGACTGTTCTCAGTCGATTCGTCGGAGGACCAATGTTCCAGAAATTCCGACGAGATAACGACCCCGAGCTAGGAGAGGTACAGAAACGTTGATATCTCACACATGCGCGTCATCGTTTATCTCTTCCACTTACTGTTAATCAATGGTTGTAAGGGTTGGGTCATGTGACTGAGAAGCTGGAAATATCACGTGTCTATGTTTTGTGTTGCGTGCCCTTACACACACGCAAACGATTGCGACGCATTTACTTATTTTTTTCCTTCGCTCATTACATGTAAACTTAACAATAATAACAGAATAATCTGTGATAATGCAAACTGTGAACGAAGGATTTTTTAAACCTAACTTTTTAACCATATTTTATAATTAGATAACATAAACTTACTTCCTCCTAAAGAGATTTTTAAAAGTCGTGTTTGTATGAGCAGCTTGTTTACGTCTTGCGTTTCCTCCGGTATTACTTGCGTGACCAAAATGACTCGTCTCAAAACGTAAATTAAGCTGTTTAGACAAAGATAACTATTTTTGCCGTGAAAACGTTTGCATGGGACAGTACTCACATTTATTTTCTAAACTTTATACTAAAAAAAAGTGAGTCTAACAGACGTTAAAAGAAAAAAAATCATCCTCGTCACAATCCCTTCTATCCCTCCATCTTAACGTCTTGTTCGCACTGTTATAATTGGCCCCGTCTTATCTTCCTTTGGGCTAGTGTTGTTCATAAATCACTCATTGGTTCTTTACTTTTTGCCTCTGAGTCTTTTCTCCTGACCATGCATCACCCTCTTTACGGGGCCTCCAATCCCTCTTGATAGTACGCCTAAAACACAAAGTGGTCTGCTAAATGTTGCATTCTTAAGTCATTCTTCATGTCAAATAACATGCAGAGAAAATTAGCTCTTTGATTCGTGAAAGGAGCGTGGAGGTGAAAATATAATTGAGTTTTTTAAGGAAATGCTTGATATCCTTTAAAAATTGTGTGTAACAGGGAGTTCCGATGAACGACATAGCGATTAGCTTAGCTGATGGACCATATCACTCTGGTTCCGCCCAGGCTTTGTACCATCCCAATCATCAGGTAAATACAACCTTATAAACCAGCTTTTATTGCCTAAATCAGTAAGATTTAGTAATTATTGAGATTCTCAGTTTATTCCGATTAGAACTGAGATTTTATATATTAAAACTGTCCCTGCTCAGCTGTCGTGGCGTTTCTAATCAAATTTTGTCCTATTGATAGAATTAAGGGGCCGACCATTTAACTTTTGAGGGGGAGTGGGTGATTTCTGCTGGCCAATTAGTGCGCAGGACCTCGGAGCGAAAGGTCTGGGTTCGAGCGCTGGCCGGGTCATTGTGTTGTGTTCGTCGGCAAGATACTTTACTCTAACCAGGTCTCTCTCAGGGGAACCTGTCGAAATACTTGGGAATTACCTTACTTGGATTAGCACCCATTTACGGGAGAATTAGCAACACTGTTAGTCACTTTGGAATATCGTAACCATAACTTGGCTCGAGTGCAGACTTAACCTTTTTTTTTCCCTTGTTACTTTCCAGCCTAATGATAGCCCATCCCGCCGTTACCGTCAAAACACACCCATTGCTCACCGATCTACGACTTCGTTAAACGAAGGACGCGGTCCGGGTGTAACGACGGCTTTAGTCGGCCCCCACCGTCGACAACTGCCTCAGACTCCTGGTTCTCGAACTGGCTCGCAGCTCTCCTTGACCGGGAAGGCACCTGCGTTGCCGGAGAACCGGGGCGACAGTGTGCTGGAAAATGGCTACCACCCAAATATGAACCAGCATATTGCCATGGCGATACGAAGTGGGCAAAGTCCTTATGCGATTTACGGTTTAGAAGAAATTGGCGACGAAGATGACTGGTGCTAGCGGTTAAAATCACGTGTGAACCACGTGCTAATGATTTGAAGGAAACTACCGTCGATAGACTTCTGTGGATTGGAACATTCGCATGCTGGTGGTTTTTGCTGATTGCATGATTTTCACGTGATCATTTTGGTACTTCGAGCTTCCTTTTGAGGTTTAAAACATATAACGTGGCTAGAAATTGATTCAGAGTGAAAAACAGATGGAGAAGACACCTTCGTTCCGTCAGCCTTCAGAGGGGAGGAAAAATTACTGTTGCCTTTCTATTAACCAAGTTTTGTAAGCCTCACTGTGCCGAGATGAAGCAGACTTCGGCCAAGAAGTGGAGGAAAATATGCACTCTTTGTTGAAGCCAATTTGAAATATAACTAGGAGAAACAGAACTCCAGACAGAATTGTTGAGTGTAGCTACTCCACTGCACTAGAACCACGCAAATTTGTTTGCTTTTGATAACAAATTTTGCAGCTTTTTCTTGAATTTGTTGTTGTCATCCACTTATTTATTTGATAATGATGGCATTTCGGATGCAATAATGCGCAATTAATTGACCTTAGTATAACTTAATATGTAGAAAAAGCGATAGATTACTAAACGTTAGGATAACAAGTGAAGCCCGCTAATAAAGAAGGCGTTTCCCTCGATATTTTTCCGATACAGTCAACCATAACACTCCCTTGAGTGTTAGCTAATTTTTCCCGGCAGACAAGGGCTTTTTACCTGTTTAAAACCTATTCTCGGTTGATGCGTTTTTGTTTTGATATGGTTTCAATTTGTGCCTTGGTCGTATTACGCTTGCGCACTTTGTAAGACGTTGAACGCTTTGAGTGGTTTGTAAACATGGCTGCGTCTAGAATGAACTGAATGACAACAGAAACAGTAAAAGGCTCCAATTCTTGAACCAAAAAAAGACAACGCAAGCGCTGTGGAGCACAGGTAAACTTACAAAGCAGTGCGTCTCGCTGATTGGTCAAAAGGCAGAAATCTGTTTGCTCTGATTGGTGGACTGTCTGCACCTATCAGAGGGCTCAGAATTCAAGCAAGCACAGTTAGGTGACACACTCAGCCAAAAATTGGGTCAATCGCAAATTAGGAATGTGTCTGAGTGTGAAGTTTGTAAGTGGTAGCAATGTCTGCATTTTATTGGCACATTTGAATCGAATGGAATTCATTTTCAACACTTGTTGAAAACAGGTTAGGAGAATACAGGTCTTTCCGCGCTTCGAAGCTCAATTTTGGTTTTGGAATATCTCTACAGAATCTTCCTACCTAACAGCGAGAAGTTGTCATTTAATGCCTTTATGATGTAGTTATAGAATTAAAATATAATAATGATAATAAATTTAAAAGGACCATCGCTTTTAGCAAAGTTTTCAGTACGCAGGCAACTTGTTTCTTACAATTGCTGTTGACATTTTTTAAGTTAGAGTTCCTTTTATAATGAGTTATTCCACTTTTAGAGAAAAAATCACACAGAGCCGTGACGAATATTAATTTTTTAACTGTTATTGTTATTATTAAAATTATCTCTGATAGAAGAAACTACTCGTAATAATATATTAAAATCAGCTATAGAAGATTCCTATTCTGTACTCGGTGCAGTTTATTTATAATATTATTGTAAAAATGACTTATTTATGGCTACATTGCTTTTGAAGCACACACTTCATAGTTTCAAATAATGTTCTTATTGTACATAAAGCAAATATGTAATGATTCTTTCAGACACGAGTAAATTCAGATTTGTTTTGGAGAAAGAATAAATTGCTACATTGTGACACTACTGGATACTGTGAATTTGTTTTCGCACGGACGAGAGGGCCTGGAGGGTTCATGGAATGGACAGCTGGTGCAAACATCAGTGTGCGATTTCGTGGTGTAATCCTTGCAGACTACCCCTCACCACCACCACCCCCCCTCCCCCCCATCCTGCCACGTTCTGCGACTATTCTCAACAGAACCCAGAATAACTCATAAATTGTTCATGATCAGGGACCGGTAATTATTGATCAGGGAGCAGGGATGGCGCAGTGGTGAGAGAGCTCGCCTCCCACCACTTTGGCCCGGGCTCGATTCCCCGGACCCGGCGTCACATGTGGGTTGAGTTTGTTGTTGGTTCTCGTCCTTGCTCCGAGGGTTTTTCTCCGGGTCCTCCGGTGCTCCTCCCTCCGCAAAAACCAACATTCTAAATTCCAATTCGATCCGGAAATAGTGGACAAGAAGAGCCACCCAGTGGAAGGTCCATTGCTAAATTTCCTATTTATTTCCTATTTTGATCGCCTGGGGTTGAGGAGGCGGTGAATATAGAGGGATCACTTAGTTTTCAGGGGAACCTGGATCAGTCGTCGCGGAAAGAGTATAAAGTGGGGACTATAGAAGATCGACTGCCATTTAAGGGGGAATCCTTAGAAACCTACAGAGACTAAAGGGAGTTCAATTAAATGTTATTGTGGCACAACCAACCCCTCCCCCCCCCTTTCCTGCCCCCAGGCAATACATAATTACCGGTCTCTTAATGTGTTGTCGTTCAAAAGCGCCTGCTTTTTTTTATGGTTTTTACATAATATCCGCACTAACTGAAAGCACTAATGAAAATAAGGAGACTTTCGTAAAGTATGTCAGAAGGGGATTTGAAACGCTGTTTCTCAAGTGGACAAGTGAAAAGGAGGAAAATTGCTTTAATACTGTCTCTTCCATAAGCGTTTTTAGGCGTTTTCGTGTGTGTGACATACAAAAACGCATCAAAAATTTATACATTTTTTAATTAAGACAGTAGAGCGGACATACGAGAGCAAAATGGAAGCGCAGTGTGGGTGAAAACATTCTGCTTTGTTTTGTTTCAGACGAAAACGGACACTTTCAAAAACGCGTTAATGTAGTTACCTCAGGAAATAACGCTGACTAATGGCACAGTTAGAAAGAATAGCGTCAGAGGATAGGCTTAGACACTTATACCTGGAAATTCTTTTTAAAATGTACAGAGCTTCTTGGGATATTAAAAAAAGTTTTACTAAGTTTTTACAAATACAAATAGGTAGTCTTAAAAGGGTTTTAATCCTAATTTTTTTTTTGTCAATTAGCCAATTCGTCGGTTTCTTCAATGAAAATATATCCCTGAAGTGTAATTTTCTGGAGCGTTTATAAGCAGCTAGAGACTGCTTGAACAAAATCTTGTTTTGATTTACCTGTATGCTACCGGTAAAGAGCACTTCCCTTTAAATTAGTTCATGATTGGAACATTTAAAAAAATCAGATAGTTAGAACATTTTTCAAAAGGCTATCTTTAAAAGAGGGAATGGGGAATGGGAAATCTTTAAAATGAGGAATCTTTAAAAGCGGGAATCTTTAAAATGGGGTTTGTGCAAAACTGACCAACCTGCTGAAGTTGTCGGTCGTTCGCCAAAACAAAAAATAGGTCCGGGTGAATGGAACATTCGCGAATAAACACGGTGTCACTGGACATTTCTTCTTCTCTCTTGGCCCGCTCAAGGAGAGTCAATATTATCTAGGCTGATGTGCTCGCTAGAACTATCCTTAGTTACATCGTCTTCGCATCGAAAGGATTCAGTGACCAACTTCTTAGTGGAATGAGGTGCATTGTATAAGTCACGTGGTCCTCTAGGAAGCTGTCCCGCGGACCTAGCTTTGGTGACATCACCAACTGAACGATACACCTCATCAAGAGATTCCTTAGCAGTCTTGCTCTTGATAAACGCCGACTCCTTTAGTTTATCACGCGTGCTTGATAGTAACCGCACATAGGATGTTTTTTTTCTTTGCGTTTCCGTGAGGTCGAATTACACGTATTTCATGTTCTTCGCCCTTGAACAACTAATGTACAAATGTATGCGGCAACGTTCTTCCCTTGGGATCTAAAGAGGGGAAAAAGAAAACAGAAAGATAGGTTGACTACAAAGTACATCCTACATTACGTGCAATATATCTGAGACATAACAGAAAGCGTTTCATTAAGGCAAAAAATACCCTCAAATGAGTGGAGCTTTTAAATTAACGAAAAAAAAAACGTGTATTAAGTTTCTTCAGTTACTTTGAAAATCGAGTTTCCAGATGGGATTTGAACCCACGACCCTCCGTGATCCAGTCGGATGCTCTAACCACTGAGCTACAGGAGACTCTATGGTGAGCAAGGGTCAATTAGTGGGTATTATTACCTTGCAAGGTATTATTACCAAGGGTATATACCGTAGTCTTGACATTAGCTTCACATTGTAAACCAATCAACACAGGGTAGGTTAAAAAAATAGTTTTGATCGACATTAGGCACGGGGTCTTTTTACATTGCAGAGACTATTAAATCCCACTAGCCCCTCATACCCCTTTAAAAGATCGAAATGTTCCTAAGCTGTTAATGTCGCCACTATCTTTCGTACACTATTGTCAGAAGCGTTCTCAGAGTACGTTCTTCTTGACATGTAGAATCCTTCACCCTTTAGCTGGCATTTTTCATTCAGCGGGACAATTCTCACGATTTCGTTAACCCTGTTCCTCTCGACAAGGAAAAAACCTTTCGGTGACCCGTTGTGTTTCCAGGCTCCCATATCGTCGCACTTGATGTCGTCTTGATTCTACAGTTTGGAGGAGTCAACCTGGAAACATGCATTATTCTCCACATTTATAGGCTGGGAAACGCACAAGTACTCGGGGTCTTTAATAGGAGTTTAACAAGCGTAAGACCACTGTAAGCCGATTTAATCCAACAGAAAACGGGAACGCATATGCATGCATCGCCTTTGTAGGGAGTTCCAGTCGGCTGCAACGTCTGGGTATCCTCTGACTCGGAATTGCTAATGACACAAGAGTTCAAAACTTATAAGTGCTGATTGTAAGTTATAAATATACATACACAAACACACACATATAATATATATAGATTATAAATATATATATATATATATATATATATATAAATATATGTGAGTTAGAAAAATGCAAAGACTACGCTTTCATCCCTGCAAGCCTGTTTCGTGATTTACAATCACAATCTAAGAGTAAAAGGAGTACTAAAATCATAAAAATACTTGCAATTAAGATCACATCCAAACACCGTCACGGGTATAGTTACTAGACTAATGCGTTCGAAAATACTTGTCCTTTACATTTTGGATTCTTTTACAAATTGCAACCCTGGAGTCATTCGCAAAATTTCACCACTCTCACCAGACAGGGGACTTTAAATCTGTACTGCTTCTCTTCTGTTTCGCTTTTACAGTCCGATATTTGATCTCATTTAATGTGTATCCTTACTCTAAGTGCTTTTATATGGCTGCTCAATTCTATTAGCCTGGTGGTTATTTTGGGCAGCCATGCACTTTATTTTATTTGTTTTATTACTTTTTTTGTAACGTAAATTTAATTTAATTCAGAGGTGCAAATGAAGTTGTTGTTGTTGTTATATGAAATGATGGTGATGAGGATGAGGATGATGAGGATGTTGGTGATGATGATCGCAAAGATAGTGATGGTGATTTAAAACGTTATTGGCATTATATTTCAGTCGATATGACATTCTATACCTTGATTCTCCTCCTTCTCCGTTGCCACCTTCAACGTCGTGAATTGTTTCCTTGCTTTGAGCTTTTTCATTCTCCTCTGCAGAGGTGCACTGTTCAAAATAGAAACATTAAACTTTTAGCTTAAAGACCAAATAAATATATTTACATTTTGATTACATCAGACACGGAAAGAGGTACTGGTTGTGATTTCTCTTATCTAAGAAGGAGAGAGCACTACCGAATGGATCGAAACAAGTTCATAGCCCCAAACTCAGATGTGAACACTTACTACTTTATTACTAATTCGTTTATTGTATTTTTATTTACATATAAAAACATTTCTCAATTGGAGTCATTTGACTTTTGACCGGTACCATGACTTAACCTCTTGAAGCATAATACGACGTTGATGTAAAAAATGTTTGGGAAATGTTAGTTATTTTTTCTCCCTAATTGACTTTGTGTATTTTTGCAGATAGCTTTAATTTTCTGTCTAAAAACTTCAGCTTGTCAAAACTGAGAAAGGATTAACATAAAAAATTGTTGAAAAACTGCATAAAACTTTCCTGACACTCGATTTTATTAGGATTTGCGATATCCCTCATGCTAATAACTAGCATAGGTTTTCTTTTTAATGAATTATATGGAGGTTGAAAACTCACCAGAAAACGCCATGTCATCCTTGCCAAGCTGATCAGGTCCGCTTCTGCAAAGGGCTGCGCTGGTTTTGTCAGCGGCTTGAACTTCCAAATGGGCATTACTGAGTACAAGAAAAAGAGAGAACTTATAGTGTCTACCTTAAAAAGAGTACCAATCTGTTAGCCTTATCCCAAAACAGCTTAAAAAGAGAAAGGCTTCTACCGCTACATGAACACACAATTTTGATTGGCCTCAAATGAATTTGGCAGACTTGAGTGGAGCAACAAACGAGCTTAAAAAATAATTTGAACTCAGAGCAGACAATTCGAATGGAAGCTCGTCAACTGATGCATGCATTAAATTGGGTGCAGAATTACTTCATCACCAGGCTGAAAACGACTTTTTGTCGCAAGTGAATTCAGAGTTGCTCTGTTGTTGGCGTCAGAATAATGTCTACCACAGAGTTTGAAATTTTTTTTAAGCTGGCTTTAGAGTTGAGATGTCCACCTTATATTCACAATCATCGCTGGATTGTGCAGAGTTGTCTTTTTTCCTCGCTGGGTTTCACCAGCTAGTTCATTCAAAAATATTTCTGTCGTCCAGTTCAAAGTGTCATAGTTCGTTTCTGATGACTTCGTCGTTGTCGTTGTCACTGAAAGGGACTTTTCAGTCTAGTTAAAAATTTTTTTATTTCATTTACTGCAAATCGTGATTTTATCATTGGAAACTGAGGAATTATCTTCTACGCGCTGGTTTCAAATAAATCAAATTTCGTTGATTGTTCGTCGCGAGTGCTTTTGTTTTGAAGTCAACATAATGAAGAAAACCAAAAATAAGCAAAATCCCGATTTCTAATGGCTTCAAAAGTAATCAAAACAGTGAAGACTATTTAATTGTATGGCAACTAATGGAGGGTTTCTATAAGAGTGCAAATTAACCTGTTTCTAAATCTGAAGCCAACTGAGCATAATTTTTCTAATTTTAAGCGCTTTAAATCGAAAACTTACCCCTTTGCCAAGTTTTGGGTGTAGCCACAACCACCTTGCATTACCTTCCCTAACATGTTAAGAAGCTCACTTGCATCAGGTCGATTACTGGAATTGAAGTTCGTAGAAGCCTCGTATAAGTTCCATACATTTAACCACTCTGTCTGACATTTCTGGTGATATTTTGTGGATCCTAGAGGTTTCTTTCCATTTTCGAGAAGACGATGGATTTTATCCCTACCATCATCTCCACCTTCCTGTTTAATATCGACTTCGAAAGGGTAATGGAGACAAGGGTTGATCATGGTAAAAAGGAGCATACCGTACGCCCAAATTTCAGCTCGTTTGAAGGCTTCCAACGAAGCTCCCCGGAGTTCCTAAAATACTTTCGCTTGCAAGGATCTCGGGTGCCATGAAGGGTACTGTTCCTCTATCAATGTTTCCAGTTCTCGACTGACACAAAGTATTGGTTTGGATAAGTTTGGAGCGACTCTCGCCAAAATCGCTTAATTTACAAATGACTGGCTCCACGTTTCACGCATTTGCAAGCTGATCTCTATCCTTTTCCTCACGCTAATGATGCTTGCTGACAAGGACATTTGCTGGTTTCAAATCCCGATGAGCTATTTCTTTACCGTGAAGGTATTTCAACCGGGCGTTTACAAAACCTGGATCGGACCGGATCGTACCGGATTAACAAAACCTGGATCGGATTGCGTCCGATTGACAAAACCCGGACCGGATCCTAAAAAAATCGGAACGCCATAAATTTCCCGCCAAAATAGTCACGTAACATCTCATGATCAAGTTTTGGCATAGAAATAAGACTGCCTTTTTTCGCAGCTCTGTGAAGCAAAGTTGTAATGGTTTTTTCGTATAAGATATTCCACAGGTGCCCCCAGCTCACTACACTAAAGGTATAGCTGTTTCGCCTAAACAGGCATAAAGAACTACAGAAAACAGACGAGGTAAGTTCACATACTTTATTATTTTGAAAACTATCCATAATTATGCCCTAAGAAATTCATTTGTAGCCTTGCACACTGTACATGGTTTTTTTTTTTATTTATTTAAACATTAATTGTAAATTACTGACCCCTCATTGTAAATAGTTGCCGAAAAGCCTTTTTAGGAGCAATTATTAAAGATTATCGTTATCATAACGAACGTTTTGATAGAGCGCTATAACGGACTCCATACACTAGCTGTTTCATAGAGCGCTCAACTTCGACGGTCGACACTGCACTGTAATGTAACACCGCTTTTAGCAACTTGTCACAATACGCCACTTGCATTGTAACACAACACCACTTTCCCGTCACGGTCACGTCCACTCGTAATTAAACAACTATACATTTCGTATTGTGAGCTTGAGAACGTCTGTGGTTATTCATTTTCAACTACACTCAATTACGGTCAAATCGTAGCGGCCTCAGTTGACCGGCACTTGCTTAGCAGGTGTCGTTACCTTCCGGGTTTTGTCAGTCGGACGCAATCCGATCCAGGTTTTGTGGATCCGGTCCGATCTGGTCCGATCCGGTCCAGATTTTGTCAATCTGATCCGATCCGATCCGATCCGATCCGATCCGATCCGATCCGATCCGATCTGATCCGGTCCAGGTTTTGTAAACGCCCATTTTAACCCACTTATCACATCGCTTGCAATTTTTTCTATGAATTGTACTCCAATCCCCTCGCAGTCGTTTAGGTCAAGGCAACTCAAAAATTTTTTCAATGAACTCATCTTTTCTTCACCTCCGAAAGTACCAAGGTCAAAGTACACATACTCTAACATCATTGCCACAGGCTCCTTACAAACGGCCTTGAACGATGATACAATGTTCTTGAGATGTAACTCGTTCAATATGTTGGTCTCCTTTACGAACGTTTCCGTAAAGTCCTCAGCTGTACTGAGCAGCTTTTTCACTACCACCTTTTCGCCCGGCTTTTCTTTCGGTTCATATTGGGTGACAAAAACCGCTCCGAATGTGCCTTGTCCTATCACATCTTGCCCGGCTAATTCTTCCCAGCTAAACTGCGGCAGGCCATCAAACCGATCTAGTTTTTTATGTTTACTGGCAAAAGCCAAGGGAAACTTAAATTCAGTCATGTTTACCGTAAGTTAAACAAGACGCGTAAATATATATTACCTTCCCGCCGTTTCCCGCCATCTAAAGCAGCTTAGGGAGAATTTGGCTTTTTGATATGTTGTGGTACTTCTCTTTATACTGAATGGACATATTTTTTTCCCATGATTTTTTTAAGTGAAGGGTAATATATGAAAATTCTGGTTACACAATTGACGATAAAGTCAAACCAATTGAAATCAGGAAAAAAAAAATCATAACACTACCATTAGACATAAAGGATATGTTAATTGTACATTCTCCCAACTGTTGATTGTCACTGAACCTTTGCACATTTATATTCACGTGAATATTATAAATACCATCATGTATTCCCACCCATTTCACCGAATCACCGTCCCTTGGTCTGCAGTACTTTTAACGATATCGAATCAACTAGTGATAAAGCTTCGGATTAAAGCAAACTTGAACCTTGAGGCGGGATTTCCATTCTAGCATAGTTTTACCTGGGTAAACAGTCATGAATTTTGATGGATTCACTGGCGTGAAATTGAAAAAAAAAACAATAACAACAACTTCTCCGCAGACCGTTCATTTATTTGGTCGATTTCATTTCACTCTTCTAAAGATTACTCATTTTAAAGATTCTCGCTTTTAAAGATTCTTCCTTTTAAAGATTCTCGCTTATAACGATTCCCGCTTTTAAAGATTCCTCCTTTTAAAGATTCTCGCTTATAACGATTCCCGCTTTTAAAGATTATCCGTTTTAAAGGTTCCTTCCTTTAAAGATTCCCGCTTTTAAAGATTCCCCGTTTTAAAGATTCCCGCTTTTAAAGGTTCCCATTTTAAAGATTCCCTCATTTAAAGATTCCTCGTTTTAAAAATATTTTTGCTTTTAAAGATTCCCGCTTCTAAAGATTTCCCGTTTTAAAGATTTCCCATTCCCCATTTCCCATTTCCCATTCCACATTACCCATTTCCCATTCCACATTACCCATTTCCCATTCCACATTACTCATTCCCCATTCTAACTGAGATATTTAGAAGAAGAAACACGAGAATTTCCGGAATCAAATGCGAACCAAAACTTAAATTCCCCAGGGAAAGAATGCACCCGATAACGGGAGAACCTGAGGCATAGTTATGAGGACAACTCATGTGACTTTTTTGGCACGTGTGATTGGTTTTCAGCAGGTTTAAATAGACGCGCCGTTCCGCGCCAAATTTTGAATGAACTTGTGTCCGACCACACGTGAAAATCAATCAGTTTGTGCGTGAGAAAAAGGCGAGCCGACAGAACAAAAGCTTTCATCTTTGCTATCGTTTACAACGAAAATTGTCTCCTTTGAAACGACAGCTGAGAGGAAAAGGATTAGGAATTTGCCGGCAAATTTTACACCATGAGCGCCGTAAGAAGAAAATTATTTAGGGAAGGATCGAATACTTGGGCTCCGGATCAAACAATCGCTCAAAGGCCAACTAACGAAGCAGTTGAAAATGACCGCACAGAAATTGTCGAATACACTGTTGTAAACGAGGGAGATGTAGTTCTGAAAGAGCCAAGTGTAGAAACTCCACATGGATTAAAAACGCCCCAAGAAAATGTGTTTCGACCGACGACTCCTTCGTGCTATGAGAAGGTAAATTACTTGTATCTGTTACAATTTGTTTCTCCGTAGTCGAGTCACTCAATTCACGTTCGTTTAACTCAATTTCTAAATTTTTAGGAAATTTAAAACAAATTGTAATTCGTACACTTTGCTTAAAAGTAAAGATTACGTGAAGTTTTAAGTAATCTCTAATCCGAGTAGGACTCTAAACAACATGTTGTAATTAAGATTTAAAAACTTCACTGTAATTCGGTAAGCTCCTCCGAGTTAAAATCTTCCCTTAATTCTCTTGGGCTCGCTTTTATGTCTTCCTAATTTGTAGAGAAATCCCAATACACAGTTTTTACGAGAATCACTGATTTTTTTTGCTAGGATCGTGAAAAGAAACTTCTGATTATTCACGAGGCAGACGATGAAACCGTTCGCAAAGGATGGGCAGGAAAACAGACACTTGAAGGGATACAAGTTGTAACATGTCAATGTGCAAACCTGATTTCAGTCTGTACAAAAGAAACATTTCTAGTTATTTTCCTCGACATATCCTCAGTGACAGGAAACGCTCAAAAAATATTTTCAACTATAAGGTAAGTACTTTAAAAAATGTCGACAAAGCAGTTTTAAATTACTTTGAGAGTACACTTTGTAGCACACGCGGCGTGCCGCCGAACAATGGCAGAAAGGTGTGATGTAACAAACGAATATCATTTTCTGATTCGAAGAACTTCTATTTTGAGGATAACAATAGGTCAAAACTAGCATAAAAAGTCGATAAGCAGTAATTAAAAATTCTTCTACGATTCAATAAACTATAATTTATTAATTTTAATCGATACATTGGACTTAAATCTGCTTTAGTAGTCCTATACTTGTCTTTGTCTGATGTATTTTATCCTTTTCCTCTCAGCCTGGTGTTAATTCTTAATTCGTTTTATCTTCGTTTTATGTGAGAAATTTGCAGCATCTTATATTATTCAATTCAATTAATAATGCTAATGATTCGTATGCATTCCTGAACCCCATGCAGTACAAAAAATAATATTTAGAGCAGAAAGCTGAGATTTAATTGAATGTTTTTCATCATCAAGTAATCAAATAATTTTACATGTTAACAAATAAATGCTTTTCAAGATGAAAACTTCACCTGCCTGCATAGCAGAATTTACTTCAAATTTAACAGATCACTCGATTACTTTTACAAATCACTCTAGGTACAATCCCAATTCTCTGAACCGTTCAGTAGCAATAATTGGATTAACACAAGAAGGAAGTAAAGGTATGTTACAAAATCATATTTTTCATTAAGAAGCTGATCACATAGATCTGCTCTTTTGGTGGCTTTTTTAAATCAAATTCACAATTTTTTTTTTTTTTTTTTTATCACCAAGAGGACTTCAGCTCCCCTGAAATAAATGGCATCATTCAGCTTCCAGTGACGGATGAAAAAGTGAATCAGGTTTTGTTGAAGTGGGCTGGGCACAAGTCATGTGAAGGTCAGGATCAAAACCACCAATATTGACAACCTGCCTCCACCACTCTTAAGGGGATTAGTTCTTAACTTATAAACACTTTGTAGAATATTATCCTCTTAAATAAAACTACCATCTATTCTTGCCTAACCTACAGCACTAACTACTTTCAACAACTGACTCTGGAAAGCTGGTTTACCAACTTAGAACAGACTCCCCTAAACTTCTGTCAACTACTACCGGCTCCATACAAATGACTCATTCACGACATTGACATTACAAACAAACCAAACAGAATGACCTAACTTTACAGGTGGATTGAAACAGACCAATCACAATGGTCTAACGCCACTTGAGTCTTACAACCAATAACATCACGGCAAAACTGACCAATCATTTTACACAAATTGTACCAAGAACATTCTACTGACAACAACTATTCACTTGACTCTGATGATGACTTCGCATAAGTTGTCAAAATGTCATTCACCACCACCAACAACAGTCATTCTCAGGACTACAATCACCTGGACAATCACATTACACTTCCATAGTCTATTCCTCCATTGGTTAAGGTATGAGCTAGATAGGCTTCCAAATAGTCAACATTTTTCCATGTTATGATTATGAAACTGTTTCCTGAATAATGTATAAAATGGCACTTCCAAGCCCCTGAAAATGAAAATTTCCAGGAGAGAAGCATGCTTCCACAACCTCCTACAGACTTTAGGTGCACACTCCATAAAAGGAAACTCTTTATGCTCTTGAGTGCTCAAATGAATTTATAGTTTCACACCATTTCAGGCATGCCATTGACACCAGAAAGTCCAGGAGGAAAGACTCGTTCAGCTGTATCAAAATCTACAGGAAAAACCAAAGAAAACACAGAGGAGACTTTGTCATTACTTGTAAAATATTCAACACCACTACCAATTCAGTAAGTGGGCTCCCTAAACCATTCAGATCTGGGCCAGTTATTGACCCTTACTGAACCAGGATGTTGCAAACACGAGGCCACTTTAATAGTACACATGATCTAGTGTATCACAAATCAATCACTGATTTAAAACTGGTATCATTATGTTTTTAGACAAAATTATAGTAATAGAGTATCCCAGGCAGACAACTCAGATGGAACACTGGAATCCTTCTGCAAAGTCTCCACACTCCACAACAACCAATCAGGGCCCCCCTATCAACAGCCATGTCACCTTGGCCAGTTGATTCCTGTCAATAGAAATAGCTTTGCTGATCTATCACAGAACAATCAAGTCACAGAAGAGGACAGGTTACATCACCAAAACAGCAATACTGCTTCTCCACAAAACTTTCTCATTGGTGGAAACCAGATCCAAAATCAACCTTTATCATCACTGATTCTCCAACGATCAGCACCAGATCACATGCCCACCCAGGAAGATCATGTTTCTGTTCATGTTCCCCCAAATGCAGTCAACACAGTGTATCCTGAGCATTATAATCATACTTATTACCACATACAAGCTACAGATCAAAACAGACCAAACACTATTCCACCACATTTCGTTGCCATCAATCCACCCCCTCTGCATCCAAACACACGAGTTCAAAACCCTGGAGGCCTAACATCACAGGCAGCACCCAAGGCAGATCTCTCTGTGGTGACCACCCAAGCATCACCTGATGGAGAAGGTGGGAAGATAGTCGGCAGTCCGGCATATATGATCAGTGGACAACTGGGCAGCAAAGATATGAAAATCACGTTACTTCATGATGACCTGTCCAAACACAGTTCCAAAGAGAGGATTAGAAGGTAACAGTGCCAACATATTTACTGCTAAACTGTTAAGTTCAACACAAAAGGGATAATATGTTTGTCCAATTCTCATAAATAGTGGTAAGTGTTTGATCCCTACAGAGGGGAAGGGAGGCTGTCACAACTAACTAATTTGACTTTGTCTTTGGCTAATTACAGTGACAATGTAACAGGTAGGATCACTGGACTAAAAGTAATTAGGGATTCTAGGTGTGACAGAGTCACTTAGGCTTATTTCCTACTTAAAACATGTTTGTTCTGTTTATTTTATTTTATGGAATTTTAGTGATTTGTCAGTAATGTTAGTAATGTGTTAATTGTGTTAGTAATGTGTTAATTGTATTATTCCTTTAACTGCCGATTTCCCATATGTAATTCCTGTTTAATTGCCGATTTCCCCTATGTAATTCCTGTTTAATTAACTGCTCCTAGCCCAAATTTGGTTTTAAGTTATTTTTACCTTTTCCTGTATTTTACTATAAGTTACAACCGTTTGCTCGGTGAGTTCAGTTGATTTGTTGCCTTCCTGAGAGTGCCTTTAAAGCGGATTCTAAGCTATACTAGCTTTTGTGTCACTCGTTCCCGTTTTTTTATTGTACCGTTGCATTTATTTCCTGTGTAATAAACTTGTAAATCTTCCCTCGGATCTTTTGTTCTTACGTCAACCGTTTTGGCGGTCTTACATAGGGATAACACCATTATTTCTTCTGCAGAGAGAAAGGGTGATTTTGATATCCTTCTACAGAGTAAGAAGTGCAAAAAGCACATTTATACTGTCGAGCAGCATTTCCTCCTACTGCCAGTGTAAATTTTAAGAAGTACAGTTACAGCTCTCTAGGTCTATGTTACATTAACAAACCACGCGTGAAACATCCAGCCTGGTGAAGTACTGTGCATTTGTCAATAGTAGTCAATAGCAAGTTAGCTATGCAGTATTTGACTACACTAGAGGGAAATATCATGCAGAAAAAGGGGAAAAGTATTTGCCCTGCCCATCATTCTAGATTATCTCAGTCTGTTCTTCTGATGAAATCCTCACTTCATTGTGTTTTCTTCTAGAGAACGAATTAAAGAAAGTTGTGATCAGCTACGCTTTTTGCTGCCAAGTGTTGCCGGAAAAAAATCTGATATGGCATCTGTAAGTAATTAATAAAAATTTGATTCATGTACTTAAAAAAAAAAAAAATTAAACCTGGTACCATATGTTTGTGACAAAACAAAGTTTTTCTCAATGTTGTATTTGCCTAAATTAAATGATGATGGTTGATTTAAATCATACTTTTAAAATTGCAATTACAAATAAATTTTCATTGCTGATCAGATTCTTGAAATGACTGTGAAATATGTGAGAATGATCAAGGAAAGGCTTCCACCAGCTGTCCTTCAAGAGGTAGTTCTAATTGTTATTATTCATTGAATAACACTTGGCTGTCTTCTCAGACTACTTGAAAGGTTGAAGGAAGTGAACAAAATCTCAAGAAAAATTATACAGTGAATTATACTGCAGAAAAGTATTTTGCACATGAGATTCCACCAAAAGCATTGTGTATTGAAAATAACAATCATTAAATGTAACTTGGGAACTTTTCTGACCCCCAACCCTTTTTGATACTTCCATAGTGATTTGCTGTTCACCTGTACAGGTTCTGTTCCCTTGACAAATCAACAGTGGTTTGGTGTGGTTTGTACTCTTATCAACAGCTACAACATTCATTGTCACAGTGGTCAAAATATTGTGGACTCACAAGGCACAGACAATTGAGTCCACAACAAATTTGATTTTCCATTTGTTAGTCTCAAAGTTATCAAATTATTTATTAAATAGTAGGTTAGTTTACTTACCGGCTACCCTGTTTACTTTAATATTTCCTTAAGAACACTTGTTGGGACTATTTACTAAGCTACATGTAATCTATTGGTAGGCATGACCTCTTTTGCAACCAATGTTGTTCAAAGTACAACCTCTAGATTATATATATAAACTTAAAAACTTGTTCTTTCAGATCTCTCAGAACATCGCTGACACAACTACTATACTTCCTAGAAAAAGAAATAAAGAATTATCAGCAAACACTAAACAAGCACGTCCAAGGTAGTAAATGGAAACATTCATCATCTCTCAATAACTTCAAAAAGGGATATTTAATCTACATTTCAAATACACTTTTTAGTTTAGATGAAAACTTTAAGGCATTTGTAGGATGTTTTTAGGCAAAGGTAAACCTTGTGACAGTTACCATGATGATAATTCATAGAATATGATAACTACCTTTGAATATAGAATATGATAACTAACTTTGCTGACCTTTTTTGCTGGTTAATACTTAGTTCTTATTAACCGAATGGGAGGTCTGTATGGTAGAATCTTGACCGAGGTCGTCAGTACAGACCGAACTCAGTGAGGTCTGTACCAGTGACCGAGGTCAAGATTCTCCCATACAGACCAACCTAGCTCAGTTAATAAGATGTTTATTATATGGCTGTGTCTTATATGCCAATTTTATTATATTCTTTGTACCTTTTCTTTCTAGACCAGTCTAGATGTTGGTCTAGATGGGAAAATCTAGACCGCTTTCAATATTGATTTCAGCCAATCAAATTCGTGCATTTGGTAGTTCCCAGTCCTTGTGAGACATGGCCATATAATAAATAGTAATACACTTAATAATTGCTTAGTTTTGTGGTAATCTGCCTGCAGAAGATTAGGGGTAGGCTTAATCAAGACTCGTTGTAGTCATTTTACTACTCTATTCAAGACAAAAATTGCACTAGATTGTGACATATCAGCTTTACGACACTACACCTTGCATATTCAGACAATGTAGTGAACTGTGTACTGGCAGCATTTACACCTTATTCAAATCCTTGTTTCTGGAAAGACTTCTTGCACAAGATGGTAACTGGTGTAATGTCATACCTTGCTGAAAATTATACACTGCTTGGATGTATGGCCTGTCAATGCAAATTACAGTATCTCCTTTGCCTTGCAATTTAACAGGCTGCATTAGTTAAGTTTTCATTGCAGATTTGCACCACCTGCTAATGTTTGTGAGGGACCACCTGGATTACCACACCCTTTACCACCATTCTATATGAGGTCTGCACCATTTCAAGGCAAAGCCCCAGCAATTGTAACCACAACAGGTCCCATGTATGTGCCCCACCTACATATCAGGCCCAGTCATGAACACACCCAGATCCCTTTACAACAGCATCACATTCATCAACCTGAGCCAGCTAGCTTCAGACTGGCAGCATCACCTCCTTCTGTATTCAACAGCTGTAACAATGGGAATACAGTTCGAGGTACAAATACATTTCAGCATCAATCAGCACATGAACATGTCACAATTAATCCACACCAAGATTACAATGCAACTCACTCATCATTCCACTCCAAACACATCTATCATGGAAACCATCCTCCCATCCCCCCTGTGCCTGGCCACAATTACGACATGCCACAGCAGTGGAGTTTTTTAAAGCTTCCTCCCATTGGAAACATTTTTCATTCCTTAGGTTCAGGTAATTTAAGCCAAGAAAGTGTTAAACATGATCCTAGTGAGTCTGGAAGATCTACACCAACAGATCCTTCATCAATGACTCCTCCACTTTGGGAGAGCAGTGGAAATCTCATGAGTTCAGGCCGACAAGATCATGCTCATATCAACAGTCCTGTAATGTTTAAAGGTACATCAATGTAACACCTGAAAAGAAAAAGCTCTACTTGAAACAAAATGAAAATTTCTTCCAACACGAAAATGTAGGAGAACAACATAGCTTATTGAAGCAAGAGGTAAAAGAAAGCATTGTCTTGTTAGGTTAACAATCCAGCTTAAAACTCCTGGAAAAAAATTGGTTTCAAAAAGCAAAGTTCATGTTTGTTCTTAATAGCTGCCACTTCTACAGAATTTGTCTATTTATTATATCTTTCCAAAATAATTCCACTTTCTTGAATGTCAGAGTTTGTGTAATGAGATAAGACAGCCAAAAATAAATAAAAACAGATTAATTAAAGAATTTGGAGAACCACTCCTTAAAGAAAGGGATAAGAAACCATGAATTCATAAGAGCACACAAAGCTTTAGAAAAATGCATAGCAGATGCAGTCAATATTTGAGAAAGACCTCCTGGTGTTCAGTTTATTTGTAGAAGGGTTAGCTCTTCAAGAAAGTAACGTACCAAGAGATACAAAAATGCTTTCATTGGTGTGTAGAAAGCTCGAGAACTGCCCATTTTGTATGGTGCCTCTTACTGTGTTTTCTATGCAAGCAAATGGAAATCCAAACAGATGCAACAACAATTGTGCGAGTTGAAATCACAATTTTCACTCTGAATTTAAATCAAATTGGTTTTAATTCTGTACATCAGATCAAACTCAAAATAAGAGGCAGGTCTAGAATGTATATGGTTGCTACTGGCTCTTAAGAAGAGCCACACATTTGCACAGCTTAAAGTAATGAGTTATGCTAAAAATAATCATTGTAAATAATTATTGCAGTTCATAAATTACTTGAAACTTCTGCAAGCTGCTTTAAACTAGAAAAAGGCAATTTATCTCTTCAACAATGTGATATCTTCATCATTTTTCAACCAAGGAAGTAAAATCATTTTTAATTTGGGGTTAAATTACTCATCACTTGCTCACTAAAGGCTAGGGTCATGTTGTTCACAGCTAGGTAAAGATAACCCAGGATCAGTGTGAAATCTGATTTAAGATATGAAAGCTTTAAAAGAAAATTCAGTACAATTCTTTTGATCTACAATTTGATGAATGGCTGCCCTTCAGAGAACAGAGAAAAATTATCCATGAAAGGCTTTTGAACAATGGGATAAATTCCTGATTAAAATTTAATCCTGGGTTGGCACTAATCAGCCTGCAAAGAACTGGGCTCAGTAAATTTATTTGTGTGAAGTAGCAAGTTTTGGGTCCATAGTTTCCTGATCATTAGTTTTTAAGCCTTCTATAAAACCTTACAGATTGACAACAGTTACTTCATCCGAGTAACATAACCAGATATGAAGTATGAAGTGTTTCCTTTTTCTCTTGAAAAAAGTAGAGGATATTTTGTAACATTGTTGAAGAGGTGCATTTCCTGAAGCAAAAATTTTAAAATAGGTATTATTTCATAAAAAAAAATTACATTCGGTCTATTTTCTTGAGTTTCAAATATAGCTATGTATCAGGAGGTAAGGCTTCATTCCTCACATTTTAACACAATTTTAAGTCATTAGTTACGTTTACAGATTGCCTTGAGTCATCCTTCAATGTGTATCTGAATGAAGGGATATTTTGATATTTGAAGTGCATCAAAAATGTTTCTTAGGGATGTTTTAGCCCAACCAGAAATACAAAAACAAAATAAAATTTGATATTATCAGTGGCCTTAAAAAGTTTGACACATTTTCTATGGTTACAATTATTAAACTTACAGACTTGGTAAATAAATTATCATGAAATTACCCAGCTTATTGTCTCAAAAATTGGTCTTTATTACAATAAAAATATCCATATTTATCCTGTACAGTAATATCCAGACTGTATAAAAATACTCTATTAATATATACCCTTGTGGACAGCTTGATTAAGGAAGGGGAAAAGGGTATACTCTGAACAAGCAGAGCGGCATGAGTATGTCTTATATTTTGTTCAGGGTATGCCATTAATATGGATCTGCAAACATCTCATCAGCTAACCTTGATAAATTAGTAAACATAATGAAAAAAATTGTCTATCATTTATTTTCTCTTGCACAGAATTGCTTTAAGCAATTCACATGTGTAAATATTCCCCTGCTAAACCTGTGGAATCTGACAATATCTTCAAGGTGTATCTTAAATTTCAACCCTTGTATCCTGTGCAATGGAAAAAAATCCTTTTAAGTTGTTACATAAGCAGAGAAAACCTTTTAGTTCTCAGATTTGATCTGAAAAGTTAGATCTGTTTCAAAGGTTAGCAGTTTATATGCATTTTGATTTGTGCACTGTAAAGAATATTTAGTGGATAATGAAAACAAAAGTATCTATTTTGTTAGAAAATATGCCTGTTTATTTGTCTGTGGACATTACCTATTTCCTTGAGCTTTGCTATCTGAAAATCAGTTCAACTTGCACAACAGATCAAGTCCACAGGCAATGTATCTGGACTGGAGCCATCAAGAGCAGGTTGCACAGAAGCATAATAATACAAAGCAACTGCTTTCTTTGCATAATGCAAGGTTTCAAAAGCGTTTTCTCCGTGGTTACTGATAGTGGAAGAGGTAACTGTAACAATTAAACAAGTGGTACAAATTGCAGGAGCACCAATAAACCACTGTAGTTTTAATTGGAGCTACTGAATCAGGGTGAGGTTTGGAAATGTCTACACTATTATCCTTGTCAAAATTTCAGTAACAATGTCCTCATACCATTATCTCCTGATTCTTGACAGAGATCCAAAAGTTTGTTCGAATATTTTTTCAATAGCGACTTTTCCATTCTCTGGTAAAGCCCTTGTCCCGATGCCTGTAAAATTTAAAGTCAGCCTAGGAGGTTCACAACGCACAAATTTCTTCTTGCGATACTCGAACTGTTTCCACAAACCATTCACAGTGTCAAACACAAACACAGGCTTTATGGAATCAATTGCCATTTGAACGGCCCATCCTGTACCACCCTCAATGGTGCTTCGACTCGCACTAAGTTTGCCAATGGCAAACACACCGTTTGAATCTCTCACTTGGTACCAATTACGACGAAGTAAATTATTTACGAAGTTATTTCTTGTCGGGAAATGCCTCTTTAAAGTCTTGTTCGCTTTATGCAAGAATTCATCGGCCTGTTTCAATTGTTCGTTATTCAAAACAACTCTAGCAGAAGTTTTTCCTCCGTGGGCCTTGAAAGAAAATGCTTGTACGCGAACACCGTACTTGGTGCCCAAATTTTGCCAGTACGTGTCACTGCCATTAGCAGCACCGCTGAATAGAGTGTAATGTCGCGGATTTCCCAAGTAGTTGTCTTCTATCCTTTGTAAAGTTTCTTCTAGGAAACCTTTTTCCAACTCGTCCTCATCAAAATCATCAAGATCAAAGAATGCATCCTCAAATGAGTTCGGCATTTTAAGCGCCAACTATGAAACACCGTTAAAGTGAGCTCTGACTAAACGGCACCGACAAATCTGAAGAACGCATGCGCAAGCGCATGCGTCAAGTTTTGGAGCGGAAAAAGGAATTATGGGCCGATATTATTTGCTCTGTTGATGATGATGATGATGATGATGATGATGATGATGATGATGATGATGATGATAATGATGATAATGATGATGTTATTTAAATTCGGATGAAAATGAGGCTTGTTACGCCTCTAGCAATAGAGATGCTAATATACCGAGGAAAATGTAAATTACAGAGTTTAAAAATAAATATAAGTCTAAATATAAATAATGATATAAAATTACAAATTACTTAGTTTTCTTATCTCATTCCTGAAAGGGCCAAATCCTGCCATTAATCTTAGCTTATCAGGTAATGTATTCCAAGCCTTAGCAGCAATGTAAGAAGTCGATTTAAGGCCGTAAGTTGTGGTCTTAGCTTCAAGTAAAACAAGTTTGTTTTTTCCCCTAAGATTTCTCTTATTTTCTCTTACTTTAAATAAAGATTGAATATACTGAGGCATATTGTTATAGAGGGCTTTAAAAATGATTAAAAGCATATCTTTTTTGCCTCTACAACTTAATGAGTAACCAATCTTATAACATAGACCGTGATCATTTCCGTTTGAAAAGTCATTAAACACGTATCTAAGGGCCCTCTCGAGTATCTCTCTAATCGGTCACTATCTTCTTTGAGACAGACGGTTTGATTTCCAGATTTCCTGTTACTTCGTGGCGTAGTTTTCCTTGCCGCTTTTATTTTACAGAACAACCTCCAAAAACTTTGTACACCCGCTAAATTTTTTCAAAAACTAATTTTCTCCGGCTTTAAAACTTTGGTCCCTAAATACATCATCAAAAAGCTTCAATCAGTGCAGAATGCAGCTGCCAGACTGATTACACGGTCTATGAAGTGTGATCACATCACTCCCAGCCTCCTCGATCTTCACTGGCTACCTGTTTCTGAACGAATTAAATTCAAGATTCTACTACTTACTTTCAAAGCACTGCACCGGCAAACTCCAATCTATATTCAAGACCTTATCACTCGCTACTCACCTTCCAAATCGCTTCGTTCATCCTCTACGTTAAATCTGAATCCCGTTAGTTTTAATCTTAATAAAATAGAGGGCAAAATTACTGAGTGCTTATTGGTCAATTAAGAGGGTATTTTTTTTTATTTTTCCCTGAGAAGAGAGAAAAATTACGAGCTTATGATTGGTACTCAGGTTACCTAGNTGAAAATACCCTCGACGACAACAAAATGCCTCGGTTATAAAGCCAGCTCCTTATTATTTTCCGCGAACGTCGCTAACTTTTAAACCTCGCACGCTTGATCCCGCGTTGTTGACTGCATACGATTTGACCTAGAATTTCATTATTCAGCTCCGTCGAAGGCACCACGTGGTTGAACCGTTTCATGTCACCACTTATTCTATTAATGTCCTCTGTTCTCATTGGTTGAATGATATCCCGTACCGTTTCGTTTTTCGCTTACCAGGCCTGAATATTCATAGTAGGGGAATGTAAAAGTCTTAAGCGTCTCTATTACCTCGACGGCTGTAACGTAAGAAAATACTAAAAATTATCAGCTAGTCGATTCAGTTTTGGAAACAGAAAAAGTTATGGCATCGGGCGGAATACCAAGTCGAAAACAAGCGGTGATCTTTAGTAGAACGTGTCTAATTTTGGAAGATGAGGAGAAACAAGCAGAGCTCAACCAAGCGATTGAAACTCTAAAATCCAACCATGAATTTGATTTGTACTATACATCACATAGTTCGCCAGAAGAATCAGGCGCACTCCCAGAAGGGTAAGTGAGACCTACTGTTTGTTCTTGTTGTCATAATTACATTAACTAAGAAATCTTTTGACACGATTACGATTCAATGCTCGTCGTTCCGTTGGAAGTCCCATCACTTTCGTTTGTACCCGAAAGACGTCGTTTCCTTCACCAGTGGTACACTCGTCTTTCTGTCATGGGGTATTTTATCTCTCTGACTTACTCTTGATCCTTTATTTCCATGAAGAGTCTGCGGATTTAGAGAAATAATTGTTATTTCTACTTCCTGTTCCCGATTTGATATTTGGAATATGTAGAATTTGACACCACTGTTTGTAGATTTCATTTCTAGTTCCGTCAACCTACTATGTCAATTTGATTAATAGAAATGTCGAAATGTAGTAACTGAACATCTGATACAGTGGTGCTGTTGCCCTATAACCATGTGCCTTTGAATGAGTAGAACATGGTTAATATAATCACTCCCACGTGTTTCGCGTGCCTTAGTATTCTGCTTCAAATATAATGCGTGGCAGTGAGGTATGCAGAGTAATTTGGACGCAAAATGTAAATCATAGTTAGTAGAGGTGTGTAAATACATTCCAAGAAAGATCTGGAGGTTAAAGGGAGATGACGACAACTATTTCTTCAGTGAATTAATTCCCTTTGGAAATGGTTGCATGTTTCATTTTGAAACAGATAAACTGGCTTATCCAATTTTTTGTCTCAATATTCGAAATGCTTTTGATATATGAGAAATTGCACAAAATTTTTATAATAAACTGAGGCATTCAGTGATTTGCTAGTTCATGTTTTATTAAGACAGTTTCTCAGCGGATATGGTATTAGTCA